TATATAAATTATATATTTAACTAATAATTTTTTAATTTATATTTATTAAATAAATAAATAAAATAAATAAATAAAAATTTTTATAAATTTTTATTTCTTTGGAAAGTTTAAAATTTCACAGGAGCTACCCTGTAAAGATTAAATCAGTTATCGATAAACGGTCACGTAATAAGCTGTCACGTTCGGGATACTATATATAGTCACATGCTATAACACTTACTTGGAGGCAAGGTCACGTGTGGTAAATGTGGCTGTGTGGCTAATAAGTCATATGACTTGTGGCTGGGGTGCCGCCGCAGGCCCCCCGAGCGGCGAGGCCTGCGGCGGCACGTGATGGGGGGTTAGGCACGTGATAACCTTGCCAATGCCTTGTAAACTCAGGGCTATTGTGCAATCCAGCGGGGTTGCCTCTTGTAAGAGTTGAGAGTACGTGCACTTTCTCTAACCTCGAAGTATAGTTGTTAAAAGCAACGATTTTATTCAGACCCACATTCCCGAAACACAACTGTGAGCAGAACTGTGAGCAGATAAGTTAGGGAAACAATCCTAAGTTCCTCGATATATATTACCATTCCCCTATGCTAGACAGCGAGTCTAACTGGTTACAATGGTATGATTGCCTTCACGAGGTCTTTAGAAGTTCCTTAACGAACATAATATAGCACTGGTAAAAGGAGCTAATTATATAGTAGTAGATAGGCCTGAAGGTTCCGCTTAGTTCTTATTTTTGTTACTTTCCTCTTTACTAGGTGAATAAAATCCACCAAAATCTGCCTAACCATCCAACCAACTCAACTACAGATTTTACGCCCTCCTACCAGATCATATCTTTCTCAACGACAATCCTTTGGAGAGGGTATTATAAAGAATCGGTAGGAAGAGAGAGCTGTTTACCCTGGCCACTGATGCTAACTTGGCAACTACCGCGGTAGGGGTTAAACATAATCTCGTCTTCATTGTTAAGCTTTTCTAAAGACCCTTCGACTCCACTACCGAATGGAGTCCTGTTCGATAATTTTCCAATTGTAATGATACCATCCACAGGACTCGATCTTTGGGGGTATTGGGATGGCCGTAACGGAGCTTACGGTAAATTGGTATTGGCGTTGATAGGCATGCGCCGATGATAGCCACGTAGACTTCCACAGCCAGGCGTGACGAAATGCTCTATCTTGATTAGAATATTTTCTCTAGATCCGTATGCCAATGTATCATACTAGTAAAATTATATCTATCCTCCCTATGCATTCTTGCAGTAGATAAGGTGCGAGTCGAACTTGCTGCAAAGGCTTTCATAAAGGTTAGCCAAAAGCTTCTGACATTAGAGGGGGGATAGGAGAAAAAGAATAAAAGTAAACTTACGTGCCGCCAAGGAGAAAGATTGTATATATGCTGATTTTTCTTGACCTCGACATCTGTAGTTTCAATACTCCCTGAACCGGCATTACTATAGTACAGAAGTCAACGCAGCGAGTTCGATGTGCCGAGTCAGGTCAAATAACCGTACAGACTTGACCGCTTGCAAGTCAGGTTAGGTATATTGACTTCGGACGCTTACCTGGCCATATTCTCGACTCGGCCTGGAGCCCTTATAAAGCCACAAAGAATGCATCAATCATATTACACCAAAAATATACGTATACCTTCAAAGTACGTATTGTTACACCAAAAAGAAAATATTCACGATTTACCCAAGTCAGGTCAAGCTATCAACTAACCTCATCGAACTCGCTGAATCAACAACGCACTTGGCTATCGAGTGCCCATTAGGATGAGTATTATATTTATACGTCTTGTTTCTAGAAGTCGTTGGAGTTCTTGGTACCAGAACGCTTTGAGAGGCCGACATTGTATCATATGAGCTACCTGTACAGCAATAGTCCAAGAGATCCTGGCAAAGATAAGTATTGCGGACGTTAGGCGCATTGTTCAGGTTGGGAAAACCCGCAGGTAGAAAACAAGGACGCTTAATTTCACTAAAGTACAGCTGAAATCATAGGCGACTTCGGCCATGAAAAGAAACTGCTTACTGCGCGGTTAGCCTGTTCGATTAAATATTATCTAGAACACACCTTGAAGAGAATCACAACAGCATTTGGATCACGAGTAACGATTCTCATGTCTCGTCCTAACCCTCCTCGTCTTATAGCTACCGTACAAAATACCATAAAGATGTGGTAGACAAGGAGGCAGGATAGGACCAAGTAGTTGTCAAGTCCCAGGGGGGAGAGGACGTCAATATTTTCCCCCAAAACCATAATGCGACAACGATAGTCGTGCCTAGCGCGAGTATGTATGAACCGATAAGAATTCCAGAGCCAGAATCCGAATGATCTAGTGGCGGTTGGATTTGACCCTGTGTTGACGACATATTGACTTTCTTCTTTTCAAAGAGCATGTAATTGCGTTTAAGTACCTAACTCGAGAGATTATGAAAGACTAAGATCTTTGGTCTTATATGTTCAGTTTTAACTCATAAGATAACTATCTTATTAAACCCCATGATGGGGTATTTTAGGGACCTATTCATTTTAAATTCGTCTGATCGAGATTCCAGTACTCCGTTAGGAAAACTTTACCGATACTGCATTGCTGTCGTGAACCAGAAGGCGCTGAATACACTGTAAATAAGCGAAACTACTCACGCATTCATCTATCAAGGCCAATCATTCTCCACTCCCCTATTTTTGGTATGACATCCACATTTGCTAAGCCGTAACGTAATATGCTGTGTTGCCCTACTCGCAGCCACCTATTATACTTACTATACGAGGTGGGTTACATCCGACATAAAGTCTGCTTCTAAATCAAAAAAATCTTGAAAGAAGAACGATAAAGTTAACTGAAATATAGCGCGATTCGCGCTTTGGCTCGGAGACGCGAGACGCGTCGCCAAGACCAGGGTAATACTAATATATAAGGAGCCGCTGCTGCCCACTGAAGAGTTGACTTGCACAACGAAACGCATCTGCTATTCGAGAAGTATAGCATCGTCTGGTTTCACGCAGCCTCTCTTCAAATTTTACTAATTTTAAATTGCTCCCCCCTCGTTCCTCGGGGGTCGCCCGACATAAAGTCTGCTTCTAACTATTGTTAGTTCAACTGCAGTCCCTGTGTATTCAGCATTGAAGGACTTTGAATTTCTTATAAAAATGTGTCTTTGTGCGGCTTCAAACATAAACAGCGTTCCGAATGAAAATTAAAAGACGTTACTTCTATAGCATAGATTTCACTACGCTTAAAATTTCCGTAGGAGACCTAGCTTTAAGTCTAATAATACTTCATTTTAAGTATTGCCCCATATTGTAAAACCTTTCAAATTAACAAATATAAATATTTGGGAAATATATGGGTTGAACATGTTTTTAAAGAATACTTATCATATTTTATAGTTATAGTTAATGTTTTATTATTGTTAATAACTTAAGAGTTTAACTAGCTCAAGTCGTTGTTTTCAGCAATATTTAGCATAAGTAGTAAACTTATAAATACTTATTCCAATACGAAATATCTTTTAAACTAAACCTCATGGAGTTTTCAAAACACAATGGTAAAATATACTATCATACTATCACCATGAGTAGCACCACCGTCCAACCCTCTTCTCAACCATAAAGCATATTAGTACTCACTTGACGTCCTATCTAATCTCTATATCACATCACTAGGCAACTGCTTGCAACTATAATGCCTATGCTTACTAGCATGGATATGGCTACTAAACAATTCTGACATAATTATTCTCAGTGGCCGTAAGTAGGGAGGTGAGGTATAATGCTTTTGGTTGTGTTAGGACGATATTGCATTACAAGTCCATACTATATTACTTGGGTTTGAGTATAGTGACTCAACTATTGCCGATAGAATATAAACATTCATAGACTTCGGTATCAAATGGTCCGTTTTGTTTATAACGAGCTGGGCTAAGTACTATATAGCATAAGGTCCGGAGTCGTAAACTTAACAGCTAATTTCGTTAGGAATCTAGATGAGATGTTTAAAACGGAACCTACGAGCTTCTATAGCTTTAGGTTAATGTTTCTTGCGAAATAATAATGAAATTTGTTTCGGTGCTTTATAAGTATATGTACCTACTCCGCGATAGAAGAACGTTGTACAAACAAGTGGCAATCTGTGGATTATAGTAAATGTTGTAAAATATTATCGGAAACTTAGTTCTCTTCGAATAACGACTGTGAGTAATAGTTTAAGAGTAGTCGCTTAAGGTGCTACTAGTAAATCTAATAATATTCCCGAAGGTATACTACAGCCTCTATATCTGTGCTTCATGACGAAGTAACTAATTGGAACCTTTATTCTATGTCTGTTAAATAATCAATTATGTAATACTAGAGTGTGTAAAGACTGATAAAATGAGTATTTACTCGTTACCTGCCCGGTTTAATAGGTGGAACACGAAATGCACTTAAAAAGAATACTACCATCAAACCACAATCTACGAATAGTTATGGAATTAAGAATGAATATCTTAGTAATAACGGACAACTATGCTAACTGCTAAATCGAGCCTCGGCAAATGTCAGTCGGCTGTTATGTGGCTTTCACGCAAGTTGCCGGCTTATTTAAGATGTAAGCCTTAAGAAAAAAGAACGGGGTATTCTACTAAACTCACGCCACCTATTCTTTAAAATGCATCATCATGAAGTGTCGTTGAAAATTTTTACCCCATTTGCCTTATATGCATAGCCGTGGGCTATCTTAGGTACCTAACTTCAGCACCTAACCTAATGTTACTACTCTAATGTTACTACTGTCGGATAACGTGCCATCGTGCCGGATCTGCTAGTTGAATATTAGGAATGGCACCCGTGATATCAATTCTCGGCGTACCCATATACCGAAACAAATGCTAAGCTTTAAGGAAAATGAGATATGAAGTATGGAGTATGGGCTAGGAACCGGCGGCAGAGCGGTCGGTGTAACATGATATTTGTTATATATGATATTCTCATTTCACATGTGATGGGCAAGACTTATAACTAAGGATGTATGCACAGGGCATTTATTCTATAGTATGTAAGAAGTGATGTGTAGTAGAGTTGCTATATGCACGGTATTAAGTGCCTTAGGTAGGCATAACCGTTTTAATAACTTAGGTAGGTATAACATTCTTAAGTCGGACGAAAGGGTAACGCGTAATTAGTATGGTTGCGTTATACCCAAGTGACAATCGTCCTTCATCTATAAATACGGTGGAGAGTTCTCATAGATTTTGCTACAAGTTAGTAGTAGCTGAGAAAGGTCTTCGGCGCCCATATTTCACCATGGAGCCTCCTCTATCTGAAAGAAGATGCGAAAAGTCGATCAATGGCAATCCAATACGACGAAAAGACGGACCGGGATGCGCGCCAAAGGTGCAAGAGATCCGTAAACGCCTTACCCCCGCTATGCAATTGTATACTGAGTCAGGAAATTCCTTGCCAACCTATTCTCGGAGGTCAAGTAGTGAATGTCAAATATTGCGTAGAACGGGCTGATGTTAGTTATCGTCGTCGTCGCTAGCGCCGTCATCCTCGCCATCTTCATCAAACTCTGCTAATTCCGCGTCATCGCCCGTGTCACTACCTCCGAAATCAAGTTCTTCGTCACTTTCGTCCCAAAATGCAGCATCGTCGTCTACCGGCTTCGGTGGTGGCGGGGGTTCGAGGCTGGTTGGCATCACGAAGTCGCTCGGAATGTCGCTCTTGGACTTTTCGACAATTTCCCTGGCTCTCCGGTTGTAGTTGGCGCGATCGTCTCGGTACGTTACGCTAGCGTCTACATTTGCCGGGGAGTTGATCTCGGGATCATCTAAAAGTAGGAGAACGGACCGGAGCACGGACTCAACACCTTGTAAAGGAGACCATCGCTCGCTAGCCTGCTCCCCAGACATGATGTCTTCGCCGGGAGTGTGTAGAATGGAGATGCATAGTTTGCCGTCGGGGTAGATGTTGGGGTGATAGATGGGAATCAGGAATCTAAAGGTCGGCGGTTGGTAGGGATACTCTTCAGTGAAGGTCATCTCGGCCTATTGAATATTATTATGTTAGCGCTGATCTTAGACGAAAATGACACTCTAATTTGTTAGTTACTCACCTTAAAGTAACCTCCGTTGAATGCGCTGTCGGGATTAAGGACAATAAGACCAAGGCGCCAACGCAGGATATTAGCATTCACCAACTACAAGTATACGGAGTCAGTGATATAGTTAGAAGATAAGGAAGGGGGTTATAGAGCACTTACATCGATGTTCACCCATTTCTCTTTCGAGAGCTCTTGCATCTCAGACATCAGCCGGTGCTTAGCACCGCCAGCGAGTCTTGACGAGGACATGGCGATGTATAGATTTGTGGTTGTGGTATAGATAAGGAGGGTATCGTGAGTCCGGTGCGACAGGAGAATGTAACTCGCGTGCCCCGGAGTAGTAGTCGGAGAAGTCTTATCAATAAAAAAAACGCCACCAGGCTACCAGGCTGATGACTTCCAATGAAAGGTGAAAATGCAAGTTAAAGAGAGATCTGAGAACTGAGAAGGGAGAACAAGGTTGGATTATGCGATGCCCTGATGCCCCGTGTCTGATGAACGAAGTGACTAGAAACACAACGGAAGAGCCGTAAAAATCGTGAGAAGCGCTATTGAATTTGGAACTGTCCTGCCCGATGTGGTTAGGTAGTAAAGAGTTGTTGAATGGTATTTGAGACTGGACTGGGTGGGATTGAATATTGAATGTGATTGACGGAGACTGTCGGATTCGGATTGTGCTATGTTTAAAGTCTTGTATCGTAACCGCGATTCCTCGGCGCCTGACTCGTCCCTTAAATGGATCCCCACCAATGAGGTAATCACACCTTGACGGGTAGGTCTCGACTACCTACCTAGGAATAGACCCGAATAAGCGGGGGCAAGGGGAGGAAACGTATTGAGTATGTACCTATGTACTCCCGAACTCGGTATGTCAAATAGGTACCTAGATACATGTACTTAACATGCATATGTACGGAATATGTAGATCTGCAAATCCAAAATTAAGACCAAAACTTCCAGATCTTAATTGGCATTTGGAATTATGTAACCTAGTAGTTTATCAGGTCCTGTTGTTAGTTGACTGTTAAGAATTGGTCAATTTGTAATAAAACGGAACTTTGTCCTAATATTATAACTAATATTAAGGAGTGTTATCATCTGCCTTTATATCTGCCTTTATACATATAACATACATTTTCTTGCTTAAAAACTCCTGCTTTGTCTATCAATTATAACCAATTACAAACATTCCACATCCGCATTGTCTTTGTGACCACAACTAACTACATAGCTCCACCCAAGGCTGCTCACGTGTTAGGGAGACCAATACCTGCTTGAGTTTGTAAGATTAAAGAAGCTCTTAAGTTAAGCTTATGTTGACTGCCTTGACTAGGGTTGGCGTATTGAACTTTTGGGTCTGCCCATGCTTTGTATGTCGGGGTTTCTATAGATTGATATTGGGTTTACCGTTCGGGCTCTATCAGGTGGAGTGTTTAGGGTGATTAAGCCCCAGTTGTTTGATATCTCCTTCAAGCGGGATCTACTATTAGCGGGAAGTACCCGTGAATGGGTTACAAGGGAAAATATAAGCCTAACTTAGGCATTGGGTGGGTGCGTAAGACACGTTAAAATTTGATAGGGTACATAATGAACTACATGTCTTTATATGCACTTAACAGCCAGTAAATATACCTACCTAGGTAGCAACCTAATGAGCTAAGAGCCTCATTTAACGGTCAACGCCTTTCTATTTACCTTAATTATAATATCTAGGCAAGGCAAGGTAAAGCAATGCATATATGCAAGGCAGTAAACGATTTTATCGTGTAACGATATAAATGTAAGTGTCCATGTGTTCTGTTAGGTATGAATAGACACGTACCAATTAGGTACCTTACATGTACGTATTTAAAGACATTGGTGGTGTGTAGTACAAACATGACCCGGTGTTTAGGTAGGAGTTGTGTACCTAACCTAATGTATGTACTGTAGGTGAGTCGGCAGGGGTAAGTTTAGGCTTAGGGCGGTTAGGGGTGTATGTATTGTACAATACATATTTACATAAAAGCGGGGACTTCTAGCGGAACAGGCGAGTTGCCCAGTCGCAAGGCACCACCTGCACTTCATTCTCCCCCCGTCCGCCCGTTTTGCTCGTCACCATTGCAACAACTTCACCTTGCGTCCTTTCACCCAAAGACCCGTCAACTTTGTCTTCCGCAATCGACAACTACCACGACGAGGCATCGCGATATCCCCCACAAGCACTCGAGCTGCTTCGATATTGCTAGGAACATCATTTTTAATTCACCGATACGACGTTGTGGAAGGGTTAAGTCGGTGAATGCTGGTAAATTTGGGTATCTTCGACCACAACAGCCGGTCGGCGGTTTCGCGCGACTCGCCACAGTGAGATCGATCGACTTTTATCATTCCACTCCTCAATACCGTCCTATCGTCAATCGTCCATCGTTCATCAAGCGCATCAGAACAAGTTAATCGGCCTACCATATTCAACGTTTCTTCGGCCTTTCCGACTCTCATTAAGCCCTTTCGTATTCTCACCTTGTCAGCATCCGGGCGTCAATTTTTGCTGGCATTATCTAGGGATTTCTGACGACTTCTCTACCTCCGAATTGCGCCGCGCACCGTAATTGTCCATCGTTTTCGGCTAGTTTTCTCGATGGCGACCATGTTATTCAATCCTCAAACGCCTCAGAGTCCTTCTCAATTTTCCCCGACTACAGGCGACCAAGTGTCGAGCATGAACAGCTCTATGACCTCCATCACCACAGCTCTACCGACGGTAAATATTTTTTAAAAGTTTATAATTATCACTAGCACCTAATACCTCATTTTCTTTTCTATTTGTCCTTGTTTCGTTCAGATTTCTATGGAACATACATTAACTTTCGCACTATTATAGCCGGCACATAGCGTGAACGGGTCCGCCCAACCAACCGACATGTCTCACGATACTGCGGTGGCAGATGCCTATTCGGCCAAGCGAAAATATCCATTCGACGATGCTGGAGATCATGAGCACAAAAAAGTCAACCTCGAGAATCGCCGAGTTGGTATTGAGAACCTGCACCTGGATGTTGGTGAAAAGTACCTCCTTTGCAGTACTCGTAAGGCTCCCTTTAGTCTCATACATGCCATGCACTCTACCATCTTTTCTTTCCTAGATTGATGGTAATTATCAAAGGCTACGCTTGAATGGGATTTGGTACTTTCTGGTTGACACTATTTTTCATATTTAGCCTACTCCACCTCGTACCCATGTCTATCGGACGATTTCTTTGAGATGTTCGGATTGACCGGCATCGCTGCTGAGGTCGCCCGTACGAAGCCTAACGGAGAGAAGAATGCGCTTCGCAAGACGTACAAAGGTCAAATAAAGACTCTAGGATTAAGCGGCCATTTTGATGCGGTGAAGAAAGAGCTCGAAGCCCCCGATGGCCTACTGGCATTGGCTGGGCTTGACGAAGATGCATGGTTCAGTAGGGAAGTAAGCGGGAAGGAGATTGAGAAAGGACTGTCGCAGACGCACCAGGCGCATCTATCTCGAGCGGCAGCGATGGCTAGAGGTTCCATACCCAAGGCGGCCTGGGATAGCTCTGTCCTCGGTGACTTAGCGCCCGGTATTTTGCCAAAGAAAGCTGGTCACGAGTCGGCCACGAGACAGACGGCACCTAGCACTCCGGCTGCCTCGGCCCCCGGTATCACCCCGAAGTCGAACAAGCCGTTGACGCCGCAGATTGATCGTGCTCGTCGGATTGGAAAAAAGCGAAGCTACCAAGACAGCAGCTTTGAAGGATACGGCGAAGGCTATGCTGATGACGATACAGGCGGGTATTCAACTGGCGATGCGGATGAACGGTCGAAGCTCAAGAGGAGAAAGCAGGTACATGCAGATCGTCCGTCTTCTGCAAGTCTCTTTGCTGACCGATGACAGAACTCTGGGGAAATGTCTTCGTTCAGAAGCGCCAGTAGCCAAAACTACAGTGGCAGGATTGGGACGTGACCTTGAGATACCCGGTTAAAGACGAGATATGACGGTTTTGTGCATCTGCAGCGTTGAACAGGTTCAAGGCTTGGGTCGAACCCAAACTTTGACGCAGACCGTTACGGCCATTTGCATTTTCCATGATTTCAGCATGGCGTAAGGCGTTCGGACGAGGGGAAACAAAGCAACAAGTAGTAAGCAACATAGGCATATGTGCTCATACGATGAATTCGGATGGCAGGCGGCTTAGTTTGGCTTGTCGTATATACTGCTTGGAGACAAAATTGAACCACCTCGGCCAGAGTTATGGGGTTCAACTGCATTGGTGTAATGATGATCAACGTTGTGAACAGGGCGCGTACACTTAGCAAGTTTATAAATACTTGGAGTGCCTAGTTCTACATGCGGTTAAGATCGAATATCATATCAGTTGTATCCATCTCTTGCCCTTGGGCCTGATTTACTCGTGAGTATTTTCAGGTTTAGGCTAAAGCCAGGTGTGTTTTGTACACAGAAAAGGGAACGGTGCTTTTATAATCTATCTGCATTTGAGAGAGCACAGCGTCTCCAAATTAATGCGGTGCCGATGCGTCTTTGAAACGAGGACCTAGTTAGGGGATTGCGGGATTACTGGATTACTGGTTTACTGGTTCAAGCTTGATTACAAGTTTAGATGACTTGAGGATTTAGTCACGAAGTCTAAGTCCTCCTGAAGGCGAGCCTGATGGAAATCAGCCATTCATCTTGTCCGTAGGGACCCTGAACCGGCCATTTGGCTCGGGTGGTGATAGTTAAATACGATTTGACTTAACATCAGAATATCTAAGATGCGATATACCCATCTTAGCTGCTTCTGCTTATATCCTGTGCTCTTCTTATAAATGGTAGTCCGACTCGAGAGCCTGTTGAGGATAAATTTGACTATCCTACGTTGAGGTCCGTGTAGAAAGCAAACACAAAAACTGGCTACTCACTTTTGATATTCGCTCTTGACATTAGAAATGTTATGTTCACATACATAGGTACCTTACCTTATAGGTGGGTACCTAGGTATGTATACAATTTTGCTATCACAAAGTCGAGGCCTCCAAATGTATTAGAACTTGTACCTACCTACATTGAAGTAGGTACGAAGTACAATGTACATATTTAGCATTAGGTGTGTGCTGCGCGAATAGGCTGTGGCGGGCAGAGCGGGTCGATACGGCAGGTACACACTTACATATATGTACCTAGGTACCTATGTAATGCAAGCCCCGCACTACAAGTATTGTATGCGTTAGTATGTCGCATTGGAACTCAGCTTCGAATTAATCACTGAAGCTTCACTTCACTTATCATCTACCACTTCACCACAATTATAACTAACGAATATAACAACCACAACAACCACAACAACTACTATTTCCACTGCCTTTCATAAGGTTTAATCCGCATATCTCTATTACTCAGATTCCTCAAATTCCTCAAATTCCTCATAATGTTCTTGCTCTTCACCATCTAAAACCTGGCATATCCAATCCAATCCAATCCAATCCAATCCTGCTAAATATGCCGCCCAACAGCAATACATCTCGGTAGACCACAGCTTATGTCACCGGCCCTCTAAGCCTCCTTGGTCTAAATAGGGGCTTCTATTATTTCTAAGAGGGATTCTCACATTCAACTTCTTACTCTCACGTCATCGCCGCCATGGATCGTATGTCTCCGGACAATGTGCCCTTAGATGTGCCTCGTCCTACGATCGGCGTTCGGTGGGGTTCATCCTCACTATCGCTCTCTACGTTAGATGACCCGCGATCCTCTTCCACACAGTCTTTGCTTCCTTCTCCGTCCGAAAACGATGATTCAGGACGCCGTAGACTGCTAGTCATTTACATACATGGTTTTATGGGCAACGATGCCTCCTTTCAATCCTTTCCCGCTCATGTGCACAAGTGCCTTAAACTCGCCTTATCCGAGACCCATACCGTCCATTCTAAGATTTACCCAAGATATAAAACTTACAAGGCTCTTGATGTAGCCCGCGATAACTTCAGCAGATGGTTAGCCCCGCATGAATCTCCCACCACCGATGTGGTTCTTGTCGGTCATTCTATGGGAGGATTATTAGCCGCCGATGTTGCTCTGATGGTAAGTGACCTGGCTTTTCTGCATAAGGTATATTATTTTGTTAGCTCACAACTTGTATTAGCCATCTAGAAACCAGTACCAAATGGGGTACTTTCTTCATCGTATCATAGGGACAGTCAATCTAGATGCACCCTTGCTCGGGCTGCATGCGAGTGTCGTTACAGCTGGTATTGCCAGCCTATTTCGGCCTAAATCGGACACAGCAAACTTGCCTGAGGAGCCAATACCAGAGGATGAATCAGCTATGTCTCTATCTAATATCAACTCAGCAAATACTTCGATATACTCGGATCCCTCCAGCGCTTCCCAGTCCCCGAGACCGCAAGGGATCCCTTATGGTATGACGTTCGATCCGAATTTTAATCCATCGTTTGTCAACGATGCCCCCCTTCGGGATAGGGGCTGGTGGAAAAATATTGTCCACTTCGTCGAGAAGCATAATTCCGAAGGTCTGCTAGACGCCGTCAGCCATCACCTCATGTCACATCTGGAATTCGGAAGTTGTCTCATGGATCTAAATAACCTGAAGACTCGATATGAGAATATTCGTAGATTGGAGGATGTAGACGATCTAAAAGATCATGGATTTCCTCACGTACCCCCACAAGTTCGCTTCATCCAATACTATACTGTGTGCCACGGATATCCTAAGAAGCCCAAAGGCCCAGGCTCTAATAACAATTCAGAAGCCTCAGAGACTATATTGAATACACGGTCAACTTCCTCGACACCGCAAACCTCAATTCAGGGTCACGATCATCCTCCAAGCACGCAAGATCTAGATGCTACCAACAGCAATACTTTACTGCGGGATTCTTTCGATGGCAATTCGGAAAGTCCAGAATTGCAGTTACTCGCTCCTGTACCAATGTCCGAAGAACCCCAATCGATACCCGAAACTAGCACATTTGATGAGCCCCTAAAAGATGTCAAGGACAGGGTCCCGGAAAATGGTATATCGGTCAACCATAGTGATGGCGGTGATACGGAAGTGCTTTCTCAGCAACCCCATAATAATTCCTCGTCTCAGCAGTCCTCAGATAACGACATAATCTCAACAACTGATCTTACCGATGCTGTAGCATCCTTAGGTATTGGTCTTCCTACAATACCAGAACTTCCTATAAGACCCGAACCACCGGATTTTAGCCAGTATACTGATAAAGATGTGCGGAAACAAGCCGAGAAGGAAGCCAAGCGGATGCAGAAAGATTACGATAGGCTCGTAAAGGACCGTGACAAGGCTGTCAGGGAACGGCAGAAAATATACGACAAAAGGAAGAAGAAGTTGGCGCAAGAGACGGAAAAAAAAGTAAAGGAAGAACAGAAACAGCGTAAGAAGGAAGCAGCCGCCATTGCTGCGTCGAGCTCCTCAAATTCGGATGACGGACCTCTTAGAAACACATCTTCCACAGTTGCGCAATCAGAAGGTCCTAACGTGGCGTCACCGCTGGCTAGTCCTTCGGCACAGTCCCGGGGTAAGGCTAAGCCTCCAAAACCACCAAAAGAACGTAAATTTTGCAATGTTCCAAAGGTGAACGGCGAGGTCGATCCGAAGTGGGTCAAGATCTTCATGAAAGACATGGACCAAGTCGCCGCGCACACGAGTCTATTCTTCAGGGGCGAGCACTACGAAAAACTGGTTGGCGACGTCGGCGAGACTGTTGTAAACTGGGTCCAGGATGACATGACGAAGAGGGCTATTTTGGAGATGGAATAGGAGAGCAATAACCTAGCACGTTAGTTTCGTCACGCCTCCGGATCAGTAACATAACGAAAGGCACTTTATACTGTATAACTAATATTGTAATGATACCCAAGACAGGTAAGTAGACAATAAGCAAAGCATCATTAGGTTTATAAACGGCTTAGATTAAGGAAACATTCAATTAGATTATCTATTACCTAGTCGAAATTCATATACGACTTGCTATGCCTGTCTAGATGCAATGGTGCTGGAGCGCACGGGAATCCCGAAGTCCCCCTAATCGTTATTGTTTCCGTATCCCCATTTCTCGACTTGCCATCTTCGTCGTTAGAATGTAACTCATGCATACGGTATGACCCGTTCCCGTCGCGAGTAATCCGCTGCGTCCCCTGCCAGCTCAGCTCGGAGTCGGCCGTAGAGCCCAGCAGGCGCGGAAACGCGCGGGCGATCATCGGACGCAGCGTGGGCAGACACGCACAGATAATACCCAAGTCGAGCTCGACGCCGGACCAAATTCCCAGCGGAAGGCCGCTAACAGACGGGTCCTCTGTGTGGCGCACGTGCTGCAAAGTGACGAGCCGCATGATAGAAGCGATACAGACGACAACACCGACGGTGAAAACGGCAGTGAGCGCGGCGCGCTGCTTCGGTGCGATATGCAGCTTTCGGAATAGGGGGATGGGGACGGCGAGGACAGCTAGGTCTATAGCCGTGTTTGGGATCGAGGTGGCGAACATGAAAAGCGGGAGGTCCATGCAGTGTCGGGGGTCGCGCGAGGCCGGGCCGGGCGGTCCCCAGGATAGAGAGACGGGCACGCAGGCGAGTATGCCGCCGAGGAAGAGCGTTAGGCCGAACATGGATATTACGCATATTAAAGCGTAGCAGAGCAGTTTGAAGCGCTTGCCCGACCAGATGCGAAGGTAAGATGTCACGATGGACATTTTAACTAGGCTGGACGAGAGGCCCCAGAGGGGTGGCGAGATCCATAGTGTCTAAGGGTGCTGTTAGATGATACATATCTCCCGACTTTGGTACTAGGAATAGAGGAATAAGCTAATTTGGAGGACTTGCCTTCAACGCTATATCTCGCTCTTCGGGAGTCATGCTTGGTAAAGGGTTACCGAAGCCGACTACTATCCCTACGACGTAGGTAGTCTTGTCAACCAAGAGTTCATTAAGGCCGCCATTATCGAACCCGCTTACCAGTCATATTCGCCAGGTACGTTCCAAATGAGCATAACTAGAAAAATATTCAGTACGGCCGCGGTTAAGTAGGGCAGTCTTGGGTGGTCGAGAACTTACTGCCGCACCAAGGCAAAGCCAATCGTCAACTCCCGAATTCTTTAACAAGGTCACACGAACGTGGAGTCGTAAGCCAACAGCTAAAAATGCAATAGCCAAAAAAGGCGTAACGACGCCGATTAGAGGAACAGCTTTCTCGGAGAGAGGCATCTGTTTCGTGTATCAAAAAGAAGAAAAAAAACATTAACTAAGTAGCATAAGAATATGAAATCCCGACCAGGAGAAGTTTGACCGTCCACAGCAGGTGGGTAATTATATGCCAATATCTTGGGATCTAATTGTATCAAATGCTACAGGCAGGATGAGACGGCCTGTCCATTTGGCAGATATAGCAGCTTCATACGGCATTGTGGCTTATGTTCAGAAACACAGGATGAGCCAAGAGAACATCTGCGATTCAACAACGTTGCAATAGGGGAATATCTCGAATTTTGTATGACTTGCAGGTTTCGACGTGCTTTACTTAGGGCTTACTGTCATTTCGAAACATAACGACGATTCGGGTCCGAGATCCGCGCGGTGCCTTTGGTTCGCTGCAGAGGGTGAGATTCCTCACCACCAAAAAAAGCCCACTAGAAATCGTTTCAATTCCGAACCGAAGACATTCGGCTCCTTATTCCGAAACAAGAACTGCTGGTCCGACCCGGTGTGATGGAGTGGGTGTCACAGAACCATAGTTGCTAGGAACGGGCCGATGCCCGTCACCCCATATATACCTATTTAAGGGTAAGTGAGATAGAATTATATGCAGAATCCTTCAGTCGCACAACCCCGGAAGAGCCTGTAAGACACCAGACTAACATGATAGCACTAGGAGCTATACCTAAAGTTAGCACTTGGTCTCGTCCGTAGCGTTTTTCTCGGCGACCAGATTAGATATCAGAACATCAATGACGTTTCTTCTCTCGCATGCCCCCAGATAATCTCCTACGGCCAGGAAATCTGATCACAGTTGGTTTCCCCCTCAACCGATATTCATAAGTTGTTGGTTACTCATTCTGGTTGGAGATGAATAGCGAAGATGAATAGCGAAGATGAACTAGAGCACATCATTCAGAAATAGGGTGAAGGGGTATAAAAGTAAAGTAGGCCACTTTCTAGTTTTACTTTCTTTGGTTGTGAAATGGCGAGGAGCTATCAACCGCAACTCAGGGCTACTCACGAAGACCTCTACACAAGGCGAGAGAAACTTACTCAGAAACTTACTCCGTCAAGGCCATACTAAGAATTCTAATAATCAGTGTGGTGTGGTAATGAGAACAGTCGTAATCTTTTCTGCTAATATTTCTGTCAAGTATGGGGCAGTTACTTAAATAAATAGTATATGCGATAGATATGACAAGTAAAGGTACCTACCTACCTATTAACTACCTAGCGCTCAACTGCTAGAAGAATTCGGCTAGATACCTCATATATTAGGTCAAGCACGGTCATGACCGGAAGGAATTTCAGTTTTAGATTTAATAAAGGAAATCTTAACCGAAGTAAAGAGCTTCAAGTGCCGAGCATTAGAATCGTTAAGAAAGCATGTCTATATCGATTATGATGCTCAGATCGAAAACAATATAAGGTACAATCAATAGCAAGGCTCCTAGCCCATGAGGTAGCTATTGACACTTTGCAAGGTTGCTCTGCTTGGATTTGCTTCAGGGAAGGCAGTCATGATGCGGCTGAGCTTGATCCTGATGTCGCTCTTGGTATGGCCAGAAGGTTGTACGTCGGGTTTGAGGTTGCCTTCGCTATCAAAATTTTGGCACAGCAATGCAAGGGCTATCCCAACTGATAGGTCTTTACCAGTATCGCAAGCAATCAAGATACGCCTTGGCTCCGAAGGGTTCGCGCCTAGATCCTCCGAGGGAGGAGTGGGCCTTGGTTTTGGTACCAAGAACTGACGCACGAAGTTGTTGATATTGGGGAGGGCTAGACGAAGATTGCGGCTAGCAATTTTGTGCCTACCTAGACCAACTTCCATGAGCGATGGGCTCTTGACCCAGGTGCTTGGGTCTGTAGTCTTTGAGTAGATAACAATTGTGCAAGTTGACGAAGAAGCCGGTGGGCCAGCAAGTGGTAAGCAGCCGACGAACAGCGACGGCGCAATTTCCCTAGGAGCTGGCGCATTTATATCAGCAACTTGATTTAAGACCAAGGAGCGCACCAGGTCAGGTAGATCTGCCTCCGGAGTGGACAATAGGATATCCGCATGGCGCCAAAAAAGTGGCGGGGTTAATCCCAGGGCCCAGTTCTCGGTATCGTCACCGGCGCCCTGGATGTAGCCGCCCTCGCTCATCTCCCCGCCAAGAACTCTGCGGGAACTAGTACAACAAATGACGGGATGGAAGTCATCAAACACGTGGTTGGTCGGGAGAAGCTGCGATTCCTGCGTAACCCATATGGGTCTCAGAGGCTTCTTTAGTTCCCGACGTAAGTCATGCACGTTGATACTGAGTTCCTTAAGCGAAGCCACGTGCTCGGGGATTCTCGCTTCCATCTGGGCATGTTCAGACTGCGATACTGCGTTTGGAGGAGTGTAGAGCTCATGAAATGCTGGTGTTTCCGGAAACAAAACACGATTCAGGACACAGCACCAAATCGGTACTGTCTTACTGAGAGCATCGGGCATTCGTTTGCCTCTCCTCGTCGAGTCCACGATGACGCAGCCATCGTTTGCACCGATGATGCCCAATAAGTTGAGATTAAGCCGTCGCGTGCTAAATCTCCACTGGCCCGTGTGGCCATCCGTGCTTTTAAAATACGCAGACCCGGCTTTATTATCGGGAGTGATATACCAGCTACCGCAGCGCTCATTAGCAATCAGCGGGCGGGCGAATGCAGTTGCTACCTCGGATACGAAATCTGCATCCTCCCGTATAGAGCGTAGACGGTTGGTGATAGAGAGGTTGGACCTTTTAAGATCGCTCAGTATGCGCGAGAAATTATGATTTGCTTGCGGCGAGAAAACGAGCTCCGACGTAGCCGTAGCCGTAGCCATAAATATAGTTAGCAAGAGATGAATTAGTTAGCTAAAGTAGCTATATCATATAGCCTATATGAAAGGAGTATAAGAGTGATGCGCAATGAAGACGAAGGAGGTTCGTCTGTAACATTACATAAAACAAGGGTTCAAAAAGCGGGCCTAGTCTAGTGCAGATCTACCTATACATACTGCCACAAGTAACTTGTCACATGTAAAAATTACCTATCGATAAGACACAGGGGCCCAACCTAAAGTTACAGAGTCTTGAATTTATTCTTTCTACAAGAGGTTTGGTAGAGTTGGAAGTCAATTCCGCTGAATAATTAATCTATTCGCCTTCCCACCATAAGGTCCATAGACACTTGACCGAATTAAGGGGTAAACAAACACCCAACGCAGTTCTATAATCCTTATCTTGAAGTACACAGGAAATTTTGCGACTTTGACATTCTCGCCTCGTCCGGCCCCTGGTCTAACTTCGCTGCACGTTTATTCAGCTTCCTCCCCTGATGCCGCCTCGCCTCGCGTCATATCAGGCCTTGCGCATTACTTCTAGCAGATGACGTCCGCCTTCACAAGGACCACATAGTCGGCTTCCTTCTTTAGTAGACACGGCGATATCATCATGTCCACAATCGTCTTGGTTCCAAGGTGGCTCCTCACGTCCATAGTGGCCGCCTGATACGCAAATCCGCGCGTGCGATCACTACCGGGCTTATCCGCCATCAGAGCCAAGTATCGCGAACGGGCTAGGATGGTGCTAATTTCTGCCGCTGACGTGACGATCTCGGTCAGCGACTTCGTCAGGGTTTCCGTATCGATTCCGGTCGCAAATAGTGTAGTGGCTTCCAATATCTTCTTTGTTACATCGCTCACGACGGCCGGGTCGGGATCGCAAGCTTTGTTTAACAGCTGCGCCGTGTGTATTCGCCATAATTCGAATTCCGCATCCGGCATCTTGGTCACGAAAAGTCGCCCCAGTTTCGTGGCCACATCGCCGTATTCCTTGCCCCACACCCGACAGTATTTACTCAGTAAACACGTGTACAGGTATCTCCAAATCAGGGCTCGGAAGATGTAGCAAGTTAGGTCGCCGTTAGTCATGTAGGTCTTCCAGTGCTTTGATAGATGCTCGAACTCTACTTTTGACTTGTCCGGCACCAGTTTTGGTTGAATTGTTTCGTTGAATCTATCCAACGAAAGCGTTCGGATTTTGTTCCGTAGATTCTCCCAGCGCTTCGTGATTTGATCGTCGGTAATGTCGCGAGCATCTGCAGCACCAAAACTACCTCGTCGAACATGTAGTAGTTGCTGCTGCAAGGATTCACAGAGTTTCGTCTTTTCCGCCAGCTTATTTGTGATATTTTCGAACTTAGACTCAATATCCTTCATTTGCGACCGGGTGATCACGACCGTCTCATCATCCCCTTCCCGCGCGACCGGATTATCACCCACTAGTTCATCATCGTCACCGAGGAGTGAAGCTAACGAGACTTTCTTCGCGCGCTGTCCATTTCCCTTGTTGCACAACAGCTTTCCACCTCCTTCAGAAACTTCATTTGTTTGGCGCAATCGTCGGATTTCATCTTCGAGTTGTTGTAGCTTTGCTTCAAAGTTCTGCTTCTGCTGCGTCCAAGTATTCAACGCAGCCGCATGATCTGCTCGTAGCTGCCTGACTTGAAGTATTTTGTCCGTGAGCGCGCCTTGCGTCTCAGCGAGCTGACTTCGTAAGGCCTCCATGGTGAAGGTTGGGTAAGGTAGGTAGACCTAATGATGATTTGTGGAAGATAATAATTCCGAAAGCGGGTTGTCTGGGATAATATTTTTTTTTAATTTGATAAGTTCAATACCTACATGTATTACGTTGTTTTTTTAATGCGATGCTCTGAGCTTTATTGGCGTGGATTCTGCGTGGTCTTTGTGGTCTTTGTGAAATAAGTTTGTACTGTACGAACAACTTTAAGAAGCGACCGGAAGTTGCTTAGCTCCCGCCTTCCCACCTCATAAAATATTCTGCAAAACTCATTAGAAGGAACGCTTTCAATTCTATATCTATCTAGCAATCAAACGCTACACGTGGTATTCCCTCCATGTCTCCTCAAGCAATTAATCTATAGAATACCTACCTTAAGTGTGAGTGGAGGGTTGAGACATTTCACACGCGCCGCCCATAATTATCCCGAATGGTCAAGATCGTCGAGTTAGTCCCCTTCGAATACCTTAACAAGGTTGTATCGAACAAAGGAAGTAATGCTACTGCACAGCTTCTCGAATCGACATCTTAGTGAATAGAAATACTCCATTGGGAAGAATTGGACTGTTGCTCTCTTGAGCTGTTCTTCCACGAATCCGAGCTCCATATTTTCATTTTTGAGATTTTCCTTGGCAGACATGAGATCAGCCTTCGTTGATTCAAGCTCATCCATCACGGACGTAAGATCAAGCTGGGTTAATTTAAGCTCATCATTCGTCTCTCTGAGTTGTCGTTCAAGCTTTTTAATGGTGAGCTTCTGCTTTTTGGCGAGTTGAATATCTTCAGCAGTGTCAACTTCTTGGTCACGTCGTCGCTTATTTCGCGGTGCTACTCCTGCCTCTGATTCAACATTCTTATCAGTGACATTTGACACTTTGGTTACGTGAAGATCTTTGGTCGCGTCATTACCCTGACCACGCTTCAGCTTATTAATCTCCGCTAATTTCGGTTTCGGCTGAGAACTTCTGGTTACTCGCTTTGGCTTCGTCTCCATCTGGACATCTTCGCTTGACTCGTCTTTTCGATTGCGCTTTCTCTTTTTACCATCATTTCTGATGGCATTCTGACACTCTGGAGGTGGCATTGTTGTAGGCGATATAGAGGACATCGCTGGATGCGACTTAGATGACACATCTGTGGGCGTATTTGAGGGCGTGGTTGCGAGTGTACCTGAAGACATGGCTGTAGGTGAACTGGAGGGGAAAGTTGTAGGTAATCCAGAAGACATGATTGCAGCTGACTTGAATGATGTTATCAAGGGTGATGGGAGAGAAATTTGTGAATGCCGGATGCCGGATACAGGTAACCAAATTTAAAGGTAACTTTGAATACTGGGTGGCGAAAGGCAGGCAGTGAATAGTTTCTGTGATTGGGAAGGAAGGAAGATGTTGTTCTGTTGTTCTATGCTAGAAAGAATTTCCTCCGGAAGGTATGTGTGTTGCAAGAAATGTGGCTTCAACTCTTGTTTGCAGTACTAAATAAGGTTGGAAGGTGGGATTGCGTTAGGGCTCCTGACTGTCGGATTTAAAAGGCAATAGCAATTGTGGCTTCCCAGAATTTTTATTATTAATGAATTAAAACTGTAGAAAGTCTATTTGGTGCTACTCTAGTTGTGTTTGACTTGAAGAAGGGAAGGCGCCACCAATACTTGCGATGTTCACGTGGTAGGAGGAAGTTTATTTTACCTAAGTACCTGAAGCAACTACCCACCGGCTCTGGCCGTGCCTTCCCTTCCAAATTAATAGATCACTTTAATTAGGTACCTTAGGTACCTATATATATTAACCTTACTCAATTTCTTTAGTCCAGCTCATTCAACTCCTATTTTCGTGGGTTTTCCTCTTTCGAATATCTACATAGGTAGATACGAGGCAGCATCAAATTATCTCGTATCAACCTCTCCATTCTACGCATGCTCCCTTGAGGTATAATAAGTGCCTATCATCTTTATTACGGATCATTGTCACATCTTTATCCTAGCTAAGGGACTCCTATAGGCTTCTTCCCTTAGAAGTCCGAAAGCTTATTAGCGTGTTACAAGTTACAGATTTTCATCTGACCCTATTCAGTACAATTCACAAGGAGCTCCCTACCCTAAGACGGGATCCTTTGGTTTGTATCGTTAGGTCCATTATGGATCTATTCAACGCGGTAGACTATTCCAAGGATTGGGACAGTGGAGGTTTCGTTATCGGAATCGACATAGGAACTACGTAAGCAGTATGCCAACCCCAGCCTCTATTTGTTTACTTACTCTTTTAGTTACTCTGGATCTTTGTACAGTTTTCACAAGAATGGACTTCTAAATGATCAGATTGTCTCCTCAACCCTTTGTCTATGGCCTGGCCCACTAAGCCAGGATGCTATGGATATAAAAGTTCCATCAAAGATCTCATACGACGTCAACGGAATTATTTCTTGGGGGCTGGGAACTAAAGGCAAAAAACATGCCATCTCATGGTTTAAGATGCTCCTAGCGGATAATGACGACTTACATCCCGAATTTCGCGACTCGGAGTACATCCAAGAGGCAAGACGTATCATGAATACCCTAGGCAAAAACCCCATCCAAGTTGTTGCGGACTTCCTAGGAAAGGTCTTTGAATATGTAGTCGTGTACAGGGGCCGAGAGAAGGGGGACAGCTTTGTAGAGAAAAGGCCTTTCCTCGTCATTATTACGGTACCGGCAATCTGGAGAGGTGGCCCACTAAAACGAATGAAACAGGCTTTGGAAATATCTGGAATATTGAATCATCGCTCCAACCAGGTCCCCCAAACTACATATAGGTTTGTTACAGAGCCAGAGGCAGCTGCTTTAGCGACGGTACCCGAATTGAACAAGTGGGATACACTTCTACCTGGATCCTCATTCGTCGTTGCAGATCTTGGAGGAGGAACCGCCGTATTTTTATCAAGAGTCTGTCACTTACAGTGCTTAATACTAACTTTAATAGGACTGCATAAGCTATGTGGTAAACAGCACCGAGCCATTTGAGCTCCGAGAAATAGTTGAAGGTGATGGTGCCCTTTGTGGTGCAGTATTCCTTGATCAGTCGTTCAATATGGCCATGAAGAAGAAGGTTTTTGAGCAAGAGGGCCAAAACTGGGATGAATTTCACCAGCTAGAGAAGGAAAAGATCATCGGAATCTGGGAATGTTTTACCAGGGGAACATATGATGCTGCATTGGATGGGACGCTCTCGATCAATCTTGGCCCAAGAATAGGCTCACATCAAGGCGAAGACGTTATATTCAATTTCTCACGGTATATAAACCCGCTCTTACCCACGGAGAGAATCTCTGCTTACAGGTTCATATACAGTGACGAGGTTCGCAGCATCTTCCAAGTCGTGATGCCTACCATTGAGGCTCTAGTTGAACATCAAGTCAATGCCATTAAAGAGAAAACTTTACGATTTCCAGATGTAATAGCATATTTTATTTTAATACTATTCTCCTGTCTGAAGCTTATTATTTGCTTGATATCGGCCATAGCTAACTACCTAGGAGTATATGTTATCGTGTTAGTGGGTGGGCTTGGACAGTGTTCATATATTTTTGAAGCACTGAAGCGCCGTTACTATGACAAAGTTCCCGTTGTCCAGGAGAGGGGGAATAGCCCACGGGCTGCTGTGTCTAAAGGTGCTGTAATATGTGGAACGAAAGAGCAGGTTTTGATACGTTCCCGTATTGCTAGATATAGCTACGGTTACTTCTCGAGCAAGCCGTTCCAAGAGGGGATCCACAATCCCGAAGATCGGTTCCGTGATACAACAAGGAACTGCGATATGGCAAAAGGTCAGATGGAATGGATCGTCAAGCGTGTGAGTTAGAGCTATGCATTTCACTTACTAGAATGCTATGCAAATGCTAACTTTTGCAAAGGGGGAGAATATTGAAACCCAAGGAAAAACGATACGACAGTACGATCGACGCTTCAACCATCGTACCCGGGGAGTTCAAACCTCTATGGAGATGATCTATGAGTCAAGAAGTGCTCAGCCCTCGGATATAAAGGCCGAGCTATGGGTCGAAGATAGTTTCGAGATGGCCACGCAAATCACCATCCGGACACCGTGCCCGGTTGAGCAGCTGCCCAAGGTCAAGGAGGGAGGGGTATAGTGGTACCTCTTTGCCTACGATCTTGAGGTGGAAGTTGTCGGTGCGTCTATTCTGATATTTAGCTTGTGATGTAGTCAAATAGGAGTCGAGGAGATACTACAGATGACCGCCTTCCAATGACTGCGTTGCGTTTTCCACAATCAAGATAGTAATGCGGTTTGAATTTTGCGATACCCCCTTGACCAGCAGGACAGAAGTGATGTGGTTGGAGAGCACGTGACTAACGATCTTGAGTGCCTAGGTACATAAGTACAATACATTGATACATGCAGGAAACGGGATAGTGCTTGTATCAAGTACATGTGGGGTAAATATAGTACTTAGGTTCACTTAGCTAATAACTCGACTTCTGAGTTCCACGCCACCAGCCCACCTTCCTACGTGTATCCTTATCGTCCAACCGACATTTTAATCTAATCTACCAGGTATCCAGGTCCCAGAAAACGCATATCAAAACTCGTCCTTTTTCCCGTCTGCCGAATCGGTCCCTACGAGCTGTCGACCTTTATGGTTTTCTACTCTCGGATATTAGATCGCCTCCGCCTCTCATTACCGGCATGAGCGGACGGCTGATAGCAGCGGTCGGGCGTCTCCCGGCGACACGCCCGGCCATGGTTCGAGCCATACGCCAATATCATCACCTACCTTCAGGTGGTATCCTCCGAGCTGATGCTGCCGTACGTGCAACGCGGCGGCGGATGTGGCCTCCGGTAAATTCGTTCCATCACGCCGTCATCGTTCGCAATGCGTCCTTTGCGCGATTCTTGCCCCGACTGGTGGTTAAGTTTGTAAGGATTCCTGCTATGGCAGGTGGAGTGATGATAGGTGGTCTGGCCTGGATTCAGTACCAAGCTACACGTATGTCGACCTAAATGCTACCCTGTACACTCGTCTAGGAGACTCAGCTAATATGGAACCCAGAGGCTGGGAACTATGCCTGGGACATAATTTATACGACGAAGGACACAGTTACGAACACCGCGATGGGATTTCTGGATGGTGCGAAAGATATTGCTAACCAGACGAAGCGAGGGTGGCAAAATACGAAAGATCAAGTTGAGCTGCCGGAGTGGATGCAGAAGATTCTCAGATCACAGGAAGAGATAGGTTCTGGGAAGCAAGGTGGTGGACCGGGTGGCGAGGAGCCCCCGAGGCAGAGCAGGGCGGGCGCCGCAGCTGCCGTAGGTGCAAGCGCTGCCGCGTACGGCTACGAGCAGTCATCTGATGATGACCGTAGTGCAGATGAGATGGCCAAGGATGACCAAATGATGGTGCTCACAAAGAAGATGATCGAAATCAGAAATATTCTGTCAAGAGTTGGACAATCTAGTACGCTCACTCTGCCCTCCATTGTTGTCATCGGATCGCAGTCGTCCGGGAAGAGCTCCGTGTTAGAAGCTATCGTGGGGCACGAATTCTTACCAAAAGGAACAAATATGGTCACACGCAGGCCAATCGAGCTTACCCTAATCAACACCCCCGACGCCACTGCTGAATACGGTGAATTCCCGGATCTGGGCCTTGGAAAGATCTCCGACTTCTCCTCTATCCAGCGAACTCTAACGGAATTAAACCAGGCTGTTCCAGACAGCCAATGCGTGTCAGACGACCCAATCCGTCTTTCTATCTCGTCGCCAAATATTCCGGATTTATCACTTATCGACCTTCCTGGCTATATCCAAGTTGTGGGGCAAAACCAGCCGCTCGAGCTTAAGCAGAGGATATCAGAACTTTGTGACAAATATATACAACCACCTAACGTTATCTTGGCTATTTCGGCTGCCGATGTTGATTTAGCTAACTCGGCGGCCCTCCGAGCTAGTAGACGAGTCGATCCCCGGGGTGAACGGACAATAGGTGTTATTACGAAGATGGATCTTATTGATCCTACCCGGGGAGCTTCCATTCTAGGTGATAAGCAGTACCCGCTTCGTCTAGGCTACATTGGAGTCATCTCTCGTGTGCCGTCAACGTCCGGGTTATTCAAGAAGGGCAACACAAATTTAACATCTACTATTACTCGAAACGAAAACACTTTTTTCTCCGCTCACCCGACGGAATTCGGTCCTGGCTCTGATCTCCAGGTTGGGACTTCAACGCTACGCAAAAAGCTTATGCACGTCCTAGAACAGACTATGTCAGCTAGTCTACAGTCGACGAGTGATTCCATAAGGCAAGAACTTGAGGAAGCGACTTATGAGTTTAAGGTCCAGTACAATGACAGACCATTATCTGCCGAGTCATATTTGGCCGAGAGTCTGGATGCTTTCAAACACTCTTTTAAGCAATTTACCGAAGAATTTGGTCGTCCTGAAATGCACTGCCTCCTGAAGAACGAGCTTGATCAACGGATGCTTGACTTATTAGCTGCGAGATATTGGAACAAGCCTATCTACGATTTAAGTGTCCCCATCGCCGAGCCTAATAACCTTGCCGATCTTCCCAAAGCAGATCCCAACTCCCTTTACTGGCGAAGACAACTCGACGCTTCCACATCTGCACTTACGAAACTTGGCGTTGGTAGACTGGCCACCAACGTGGTAGCAAACTCGATCCAATCTCACATCGACGCTTTAATCAGCCAATCTACTTTCGTCAACCATCCATATGCACGACAGGCTATCACAGAAGCCGCTTCGAGTATTTTAAATGACCGGTTTTATAGTACCAGTGATCAGGTCGAAAATTGTATCAAGCCTTTCAAGTTCGAGATCGACATGGAAGAGCGAGAGTGGACCACAGGTAGGGAACACGTTCAAGGTGTGTTGAAGAAGGAACTGTCTGCATGTGAAGGTGCTATGAAAGATCTCGAGACAGTAGTTGGTGGGCGGAGAAAACTGAGGGAAGTTGTCAACTTTGTCGACAAGGCTAGGAAAGGCGATGTGGTCGTCGAGGGCGACAGCCGCAGCGGTGCAGGAGGCTTTAGCGCCGAGTTGCTTGCGAAAGGTTTGATCTTATCAGCTTTTGGATATCGGGAATAACTCGCTAACGTGTTTCCAGGTCGAGAAGCCGTTTTCTTACGTGACCGCGCCGATATCATCAAGATGCGGATGCTTGCAGTGAAGTCGAAACAGTGCAGTAATATGAAGAATAAATACCACTGCCCTGAAGTCTTTTTGGATGCAGTGGCTTCGAAACTTGCATCAACGGCCGTACTTTTCCTTAACGTGGAGCTACTCTCTGAATTCTACTACAACTTTCCGCGAGAGCTAGACTTAAGACTTGGACGCCACCTATCGGACGAGGAGGTGGAAAGGTTTGCCAAGGAAGACCCCAAGATCAGGAAGCATCTGGAAGTCATTAGGCGTAAGGAGCTTCTCGAACTAGTACTCGAGAAGATGGATAGCCTAAGGCAGCTCGAAGGTATAGAAAGAGACCGTTCAAGGACAAGTGTAAAGAAAGGCAGCGAGAAAGAACGTGGACGATGGGGGTTATTCTGAGTTATTAAAATATCTAGTTATTACTAACGAATTATCACGATATGGAAAGGAGTTAAAAAAGAGTAGTCTCAGCGCCTATTACTTGTCCAGATATCACTTTCAAATCCCAGCTCGATGGTTGGCTTTCTGACAACGTGTGTGTGGTTTTACATAGATGTGATCCCCCCCTTTCTAAGACAGCAATATTTGATACACGATTATCAGTACAGGCGTTATACTTTACTGTGTTCCTGAAGTTTGTCTCATAGATACGACCATGCCTAAGCCACATACATGAATCATGTAACCTAGAGGAATACAGATAAGTAAACATCATAGTAGCAATTTCAACATGTGATACAGCGATAAACAAGCGCCGTCATCTTCTAATATAATCGTACGAGAGCAATATCTGGTCTATTCTAGGCGGTTTTACATAGCTGGACGAGACACTCGCTCACACATCTACGCATTCTAAGACATCCCTCTATGCATATAGCCCGTTCTCTGTCTTTCTAGTTTATGTAAGATCGTGCTCGGAAATCAACTTTTCGGCGCATGTTATACCGGTGAGGTAAGCGACGCATTGGACGTGGCAGCTCGCGAGAACAGGGACCACGCTCATGTCTGCGACGCGTAGGCCCTCGAAACCAATGAGGCGAAAGTTGTTATCTACAGCCGCATCGGCAGAGCCAGGACGGCCCATCTTCACAGTGCCGGTCATGTGCCACTTTGGGAAGGGTTAGTAATTACTTCCTTTTAATGGGAGATGTGCGGAGTGTAGGGCTATATCGGGAATGACCCCCTTTTTTATCACATCGTTTAGGAGGCCTTGATTTGACCTTGAGGCAGGGGGGTAAGGAAAGGGGTACGTGGTAGGTTACTCACGCTTGATCCTATCGTCTGACGCCAATATTCAAGCAAGTCTGCGTCGGAGTCGCTTGCCGGCCCTGTAATCGTTGACACGTTGTCCCGTGCATAGCTTTCGGACCGCACGAACCGTAGCGCATCACGCAGCCCCTCGATGGCGGCACGCCGATCGAAGGCTGTTGCTAGGAACTTGGGGTCTATCCGCGGTGCTGCGTCCGGATCTGCCGACTGTAGAGTGACCTCGCCGCGGCTCTGCGCATTGAATAGGAAGACTAGGAGCGCTGTGTAGTTTAGGGCCGAGTCGGGGAAGTCTGGCACGAACCAGTGGAGCGGGAAGTGACTGAGCAGCTCGTAGTGAGGCACGGTAGGGTCATTGATCAAGTCCCTTTCGCTAGCAGGTAGGTCCTGGAACTCCTGAGATGCGAGGAGTTTGTCTAGCTTGAACCACCCAATGGGCAACTGACAAGCATACTTCGCCCAAGGGCCCGAGCCGTCTTTCCTCCACTGCTCCAGAGCGTCGGCCATGGCCTTCTTGTCACCGTAGAAGGAGGACCGATCTGTGGTTCCTTCGGCTCGCGTGTAGGCTAGGGGAATGAACATATGATCACGCAGGCCTTGGCCGATTGCTGGGACGTCTTTGACGACAGGTATGCCATACTTTTCTAGCTGTGCTCGAGGGCCAATGCCAGAGTGCATTAGGATTTTCGGGCCGTTGACTGAACCTGCCGAGAGAATAACTTCCTTGGAGGCCAGGTCTAACATCAAGGTCAGCATGTTCGATACTTATACCTACAGCTGCTACTAACTCGAATCTGTACAAATTAGACTTACAACGCTTGCCATTCGACTCAACTCCAACGGCCCTATTGCCTTCCAGTATCAGCCGCTGGACCGGAGACTCAGTAATGATTGTTAAGTTTTCCGGCGCCAGCGTAAACAAGTCCGCCGCCGTAGACCGGACGCCCTTGCTAGACGAGTTGATCCCGAAGGAGAAGCCGATCGGGTTACCCGAGTTGTGGTCCGGGTTCAAGGGGTATCCGGCCTTTTCGAAGGCGTCGAATAGGGGCGCTATATCCTTCTCCGCCTCGGCCACGTAGCCCGTCTTCAGGGGTCCCGAGCTGCCGTGATCTTCGGCTTTCGGCGCGGCATACCGACTGTCGATTCCCGGCGGCAGTGTCCGGTCGAACGACTCCAGACTTCTGAGCCGGCGCTGCATGTGAGCCCAGCCGAACGTGTCGTCCCCCACGATCCGCGACCACTCGTCGTAGTCGCGGCTTGCTCCTACGGTGAACACGCTGAAGTTAACAGCGCTTGAGCCGCCGAGTCCTAAGCCTCGCGAGTAATCGAGCTCTCGGTTATTGCAGAATTCCTGGGGCACCGTCTTGTAGCCCCAGTTCAGGGACTGGTTCTGGAATGTTGTCCACCGCTGCCCGTCGACACGCAGGTCTTTGTCGTCGTTCTTGCCGCCGGCCTCGAGGAGCAATACCCTGGGCTTCTTCGCCGACTTCGCGAGCCAGGCTGCGACAGCGCTGCCCGCTGGCCCGCCTATACGATATTGTCAACGGATCGAAGGGGTTATGCCACGGGTGGCTTGTTTCGAGCGGACTTACTACCAACGATTACAAAGTCATAGGTTGATGCCATATTATCGTAGTCCTTGGGTGAAGCTTGTGTATGCCAGAGAAGGTCGTATTAGTGAGACTCTAATTATGGAATGCTAGCCTTATATAGACAGAGAGAGACGGAGTGCGAAGTGAAGGAAGTGGCTTGGATTTGAGACAATCGTCCAACCCCCCCTCCCCCCATTACCTTCCATAACGATACTTATTTCGAAGCGGCTTGGTTAGAGCTAAGTTATTGGGAGCATTATGGGCCGTAATATTTTAGTGGCGAAACATAGTACTACTGCTTGGGTATTATGCATGTTGGTGATTCAAAACCGGGATTTGATATTATCGTATAAATGTTGGTAGATGTTGCATGGTATATAGTTCTGATAGGTCGATGCTAGATTCTGTATCGGCTATTATCCAATTCATAATCTTGTCTGAGCCTACCGGTACACTGAGTCACATAAAGTATAAGAATCTTGGCCTGGGTTGGTCCTTTTCATGTAGAAGCAGGGGTATTGAGTCGTTTAGTACTAACTACCCTTCTAAATATCATTGTGTTTAACTAATACTTATAGATGTTTTCGCCGCTAAGAGTGCCATCGGTAATATTATGCTTTGGCATGTCCCCTAGGGCACATATGAATAACTGTTATATAACTCTGTTATAAAAGTCTGAAGGACGTTGGGATCGGTTTCTCCAAGGATATGTTATAGACGCGGGGTTATTGTACGGACGAAAAGCGATTACGCGTGCAGACTTGACTAGGTAGTCGAAGGACTCACAAGACCTACGCAGTGAGTCCAACCGCATTATGCAGCTTAGATCTCAATTCTGCTACTTATGTGTTGGGTGGTATTGACGGCACGTGGTCTCACCAAGGTGAGATAGTATGCATGCAGAGGTAGTAATGAGCCATTAGGAGAGCTGCTACGGTACTGTTATCTTCAGGGGTATCATATGCGTTTCCTTATATTGATCTTGCTCGCGCCAGCATACTTGCGCCTGTTATCTCACGGGTATTATATTCGGGTATTCCATTGGGGGGATCGTAATATTTGCGGGAATAGGTTTACAGCAGGGCTAAGTAAGAATAGAGGCCCAGGGAATAAAATCGAAGGAATTGAAGAACGCAATTAGTACCATGAGAGATGTAGCGAAATCTCTGATGTCCGTGAGGTAGGGTCTCTTGAGTAATTATATATAAAGTAGAATAAGAAAAGCCGCCAGAGACAAAGCCGTCGCATTCTCCTAGAATTTTATATCGAAAGGGGTAGCTGCGGAGCTATATCTTGTTGTCTAAGGAAACTTGATATTGGCTAGATGTATACCCAGGGCCTATACAAGTCTAAAAGTATGTTTTGAGAGCCTGATCTATCAGGCAATAAGACTATATTAGAGGAGTATAAGAGGTAAGCTTCGTATTAGTAGTGGTAGTGCGTTTACTTTGCGGAGTCATATTCTCTTAGGTTAGGTACTACATCATTATCAATCTTCTCGTGTCGACCGATGTCCAAGTTCTGGTAGATAAGCTTAAACCCGGGGATTACTTATCCCTATTTAGTTCCCCTGTTTAAGATATGTCTTAAAGAGGATCATTGGGGCTTGTTGAAGAGACGTGTACTTCAAATACTATAAACGAATGGAAACGGAAGAAAAGGGGCTCAGAGGCTTTACTTACATAACATAGAATTATATAATCATCAATAAGAACGGTAATATGTCCGTGGTCGATAATAGCTACCTAGGTTACTAGGTTAAACATTCGTGCAGGATGAAATATAAGGAAGAATGTAAATACGAATTTATTATTGGGTATGGAATTAGCAGCCAACTTTTGCTACAATGCTACACGCACCAAACCGCTCTTCTAAAACAACAACCAGAAACGCCTTGCTGTTCCGGGTCCCTCTTGATGACATTCTCACCAGTTGCGGAACTTGAAATCTATGTTGCCACTACCCCCGTCATGATGCGAAACGTCAGGGAAACACTAATTAGAAAATCCAACCAGATACCACTGAGAAGTCTCTTTACTAAAGAGCCATCCCGAGGACGCGAGCTGCCTTCTCCGATGTGGTATATTCAGGGGCTCTTGATATGGAACTTGGCACCGGGCTGTCTGGCATGGGCAATTCTATATCGACTTGATGGTCGGCAGGGTGAGGCTGTTCTCCGATATTAAGCGAACGCCTCTTCTTCTTGATATTACCCTGCGAGGGAAGTTTGTTACCAAGATCTGGACGTGGTTCTGTGCGAGGCCGGAGTTCAGTTGGAGGAGCACGGATATCGGATGGGGCGGAGGCTGACTCCGAGTATGCAAGCGGTGTCTTATTTCGAATTGGTAACGATGGACCCTCTGGCGTTCGACTTCGTCCGATACCGGCAGGGATTAATGGAGCAAGAATGCGCTTGTGGCTGTCGAGATCGATACTTGGCGTGGGTAAAGGACTGGTAACGCGGGGAGCTGCCTTCTCGTTGGTAGTAAGACCCTTCGTTTGCGCAAATGCCGAGGAACGCTTGTGATACGGATCGCGGTCTGAATAAGCGTCGATGATTGGGTTTACCATTACAGTCTGGCCATGAATGGTTAAAATGGAGTTGGTGGGAACATTGACCCAATTTTCTAGTATTCTGTTAGCAAAATGTATACGTTACGGTAGGATAGCCACGTACCTCGTTCGAATGTTAAAGGCTCGCTAGCTACAAGGACGATATCTGCTCCTTTATCGCGGCGTTCCATCTGGTAATCTCGATCATTCGGAGAAGACAGATTGGTCTCCCATTGGGTACCCGAAGAATAGTACAAGCTTGCTGCCTCGTCAGTCTTGCTGCTCACGTATCTTGTGCAGATGATGCTATGTCCGTCCGTCACTGCGAAGTTTAACAGGCTTCGAGTGTCCACATTCTCGCTCTGAATGGTGCTCTCTGGTATAGCCATAGTAAGCTCGTTGATAATCTCGATGGTTTGTAAGAGGGCCCTTCGTAGAACACCTGGCCCAAAGCCATTCTTAGGTTCCGAACTCGGGTTGACGCCCAGACGCTCGAGGCGGTCGAGGAATAGAGCAAAGGCCCACTCGCTATCAGTCCCGCCTTGTACGCAAAGGTACCACTTGTCGTGCAATCGTTCACCTAGCTTCCTCTTGATATGTTTCCAGCCTCCCAATCCTCCATTGTGCATCCACATCAAGCTCCCATGGCAGAAAGGGTGGCAGTTATCCTCGCTTAGGGATCCCTCGGTGGTTGCTCGAACGTGTGCGAAGACGAGTCTTGATGCCGTCTTGGAAGCGATACGATGGAGATTGGTGCAGTTCCAAGCAGGAATAGTTGAGGTGAAGAGGCAAGGAGCAGGACCTAGTTTCGGGTCGGTGTAAAAGCCAATTCCAAAGCCATCTGCATTATTCTGGCCGCGTCGCGTGTCCTGTAGGATAGCTACGAGTTAGTTATACATTGGGTTGCAATAAATTCTAGTTTAGCCACAAGGCCACGGGCTATTAGAATAACTCACCAATCTCAGTCGAGAGTCAAACGATTGCTTAAGGATAGAGTGTGTCGGGTCTAGAATCAACTTGGAGAGCAGGATCTCGTCGCTGCCTCGATAGACCTAAAGCAGAGCATTAGCTTAGAGTCTTCATAATTCACGCGACCGGTTGGGAGGGTATAGTACCAAAAAGCGACACATCCTCCTCGATTAGAAGATGGTTGGTGTAAAGGCTAGAAAAGAAGGTTTCGCTGATATCATATAATTACCCAATAGGTTTAAGTAAGAGACCTTAGATAGGTACCTAAGAGGTTGTCATAACCGGGCGAAGGAAATAAATCGTGGATCCGATCTTTTGAGTGAATTGAGTAAATTGTGCGAATTGTGTAAACACGTCTTTCCGTGACCGCTTCTTGCTTGCTTGTCGCTTTTACTTTTTCTTATCTTTTTTTCCGCGTCGCAGTCATCGAGGAATGTGGCGTGCCTATATTACTCAATTGCGATATTCCAGATTAGGAGTGACGGAATGATAAAGTACAAAGTGGGTGAAGTGGGTGACACTGAGGCGGCAGGACGGCAGCTGGAAAATTCATGGGTCTAGGCTCTTGCTATTAGGTATTGAACATTCGGGCTCGTTTAGGCACTTCATCCCCTGTCTTAGGTACATTAGGTACCTACCTGGATACATAGGCTAGCAGCCCAAGCAGATACCTAGTACCTAGCAGGTGCATCTTACGTAGGGCAAGGGCAGGCCTGGGAACCTGGGAACCTGGGTGAAGGCACCTGCAGTTGGCAGCTGCAGCTGTCCGGGGTAATTAACACAACTTTGGTTTAGTGTCCTAAACAGAAATCTGGGGCTAATTACCCTCAACCAATCATCTACTCTTTGACATTCTGAAAAGGGGATTCTTTTCTAACTACCTACCTAGGTATTTTCCATCGTAACGTATTGTTTGTGTTTACTTGCCCATGTTACACAGGTAAGCATTCGGCTTGTTTCACGTGTAAAAAACGTGGTACTTATCAATAGTATCTCATCTTTAAACTAAGCACCTTAGCGAAGCTTTAGCTCCAATGTAGGACAACGGCTATCGACTGCATCTAGGGCATATCCCGGATCATAGGTAGTCTTAAGGAGTAACCTACGCAAATGAGGTATCTTTACGGCTGATCTGTATCATATGATATGTTTGCTTATCTCTTAGCCTGGCACGAGTATCCGGGTCGCATCCGTTTTTCAGCCGTCGCCTTCTAGTTGCTTCATACATTGCACGGGTTATGACAGGAACAAGTCATTGCTGTATTTCGATACAGAAAGAATAAAAGCCACAAGGTCTCCGGGGACCTAATCTTCTGGAAAACGAGGCAAGATGAATAGCAAAGGCAATGTATTAGGTACCTTAGATAGTTAAGTCGGGGATTAACATATTTCTCGACCACCCAATCATGTAAACCATGTAACGCAGTCATCTCTTTATACTGATTTTCCTGCTAGTTCTGTTAGCTGCCTTTTTTGTATCAGGTTGATCTAGCGGCTCACCAAAGTGAAATTAGCAATAAAAATATCCCTGGGACTCTTCTAGTAGATATAGCCCGACTAATTCTTATTAAGCATGGATATCGCTAGGTTAACTAGCTCTAATAGTTTTAGATTCTTATGCAATAAAGGTCTTATTAATTTCAAGGAGTCCCTTGTGTTAAAACATCTTTTCATGACCTTCCGCTCGCCGTGTCCTGCCTCACGTACGAAATGTTTAATCCAGAACCAAAGTACATTGAAGATGTAGATCCCCTATCCTTCTTTACTTCAACCAGTTTTTGCTGTTAGCATCGTCTAACGACGTCGAAAACTAGTGGACTAACCTAACATGTTAAAACCCCCTTCGGTGAAGATGAAACTTTTCTCCATTCTAAAGAATGGATACGTATAGGTAGATAGACGGCTTCTATTACACTCGTAGCTAGGGCAAATAGATTTTTCTATCGAACTTTCAGCCCTGGCAACTAAAAAATTCGACAGTGTACTCTAATCAAGCGACTATTAATTCCTTAGCCTCTTCGCGTAACCCCTAATCCACTTTCATTTCAGTCAAATCATCTACAACGATGAATCTTACCATCTCTACCAATTCCCAGTAAGTTAAATGAATGCATGAACAACTTATTCTCCCAACATCTACAATCACCCCAATAACACTTTCTTTAAGGCGGCTCGGCAAGCTTCGAATCACCGTCATAGAATACGCCCAAGTTTGGAGACCTCAAATAACAATTCAGCCATACCTAAGTGATGTTTGATATTGCTCGCCCATCATAGGCTTAGTCTAATCTTCGGCGACCATCGCCTCTCTCAAGAAGCGAATCTTCCTCGCTATTCTTCACTAAACTATCGTCACGGTAGAGTATGTAGTGCTGGGTCATGAACACCAGATCATAGAGCATGCTGACATTTCCCAGCGCAAACTTGACTGGGTTACCCGTGACTCCAGACCAGTCGCCCTGTAGCCAAGAATCTATCATCAACTGTGCGATACTCAACATGCCACCCAGAAAATCTAGCAGTATCTGCCAGATGCTCCACCCTTTTGTGCTGTGATTTTTGAAGTTGTACACCAGCTGCGGTGCATATTTAACAAGAGTAATGAGCAGCTTGACGTATGAGATGGTATAGATAACGTCTAGCCATGCCCACGAAGTCTTAGGGTCCGCATCTGAGGGCGTGGATAGCACCACGAGGATGATGATGGCAACGGCGACAAACGATCCGCTCGCAACACCCAATATGAGCCGAGATGGGCGAGTGCCAGGGGCACGATCAAACCCCCAAATAGCGGGCAAGAAGTACTGAGTAGTTAAGATCGAACAGACAACAAGTGCATGAGCAGCAAAGACAATATCGTTAACTGCGACAGTCGGCGTGTGGTCATTATTTCGTAAAGCATACTGATGTCGGATAACTGGAGATGAGTAAAATACAGCATTATAGATGAGATAGGCAAGAAAGCCTATGAAATATTAGAAGATGAATGATAAGAGGTGGTTATTGGATTAGATAAAGCACGATAGACTTACCGAGAGTGTTGATAAATGGGAAATCTACGGTAGTTCCGGAGGTTGATTTCCTCCGAATATTTAGTAGTGGTTGCGAGTAGAATGATAACGACCATGATAGCGTATAGATCCATCCGAACACAGCGGATATAAATTCGAGGAAGCCCATGATGCTTTGTCGGTTAAAATGTAGATAAAATATACCCGGCGCGGAGGTAGATGCTCTATAACCAGGTACCTGGGTACCTAGGTAGATATTGCCAATGTTTAGGTCTTAAGGTTGGCTTACCATTCGGAATAGACCGTTCAGAACGATGACGCAGTGATTGGGGCCATCCGAGATACCAAAGCGGTGCTATATTACCTATGTCCTAAGTTTCTATAAGTAAATGTTTTGTGAGGTAAAAATGAGATGAGTCAAGATAAGAGAAACGAAGCTATCGAAATCCCTAAGCAGAATTGCGCCATTCATGTACTTCGTACCAGAAGTTCTGATTATATAATTATTCCTTTAGCGGTGTCATGCGATAAATCCTTATCCGGTATTGTAGAACGGCACGTGACTCCACGAAGTCCTTAACATGCCCCCTATCCAAGTCCTTAACCAAAGCGGAATTCATACAGTACCTCATAATTGAGACTCGGCCTGTCGAGATTTTGGTACTATTTCTTTTCTTTAGTATCCATAATAAATCAGCATGTAATAGTCTCCAGAGCATATTCCTTTCCGATCCCTTCTTCAACATTCCAATCAAAATAAGTAAAATGGCCAAGAAACCTCAACCACACACAAGCTTGTTCATTTAATTCTTATTTTATTTTAAACCCACAGATCTTGCTTTCCATGGTTCTCATATTCCACTAGAGAGGTCGGAAACATCGTAGAACTCCCGTTGACTAAGGCGGATAGGTTCCTGGTAGGTATTGTTCTCTAGCGAGGGACGGCTGCTTCTGTCGGTAATCTCGTTCCGCTGTTTAAACTCGTGTTACGCAGTGCTGGGATTTTATTTCCTTGACCTCTAGCTAATGGATTCTCATCTGGAAGCGCCACTATAGTCGGAGGTACGAAGTCATTATATTCACATGTCAGTTACGGTTATTGATATGATTTTTTAACCATATCCACCGGTAACGAGAGTGAGCTCTCGCTTTAAAAAGAAACATTTGACTATGTTATAGTATCTTTCTTAATTATTCGGTATCAAATTGATCAAATTGGTAGCTTTATATCAATTTCCTTGAAAATGCGTGTGTAAGACAAGTGTCAGGGTACAAGTGGATAGAGTAGTTATGGGGGTTCGTTTACTATATAAGGGGTGCGCAGCGCCCTCGCAAGACGATAAAAGGCCAGGCGTTACTATATCAATACAATATACCACTTAGGCTGCCTATACTAAGTGCTCACTATGTGTATGATATCAATCAACGGGTATAAATCCTGACAACAAGCGGGACTCGTGAAAGGTGTGGGTTGTCGTTTTACAGGACAGTGTTAATTAGAAGATAGGCCAACCAGCTTTACCTTATCGATTCCCCTAAATATGTAGATCTCAAACTGACCATAGACATATCTCGAAGAGACACTGCCTTCTATGTGGTGAATCACTTGCATATAGTACCCTTCCATCTATTCGTATTGAAACTCTTGGACCAAACTACCCAGTAAGAGAACGCTTCTCGATGTATGGTCTAGAAAACTGTGACTCGAGTTTAAAACATATTCTGACTTGTGGTTGGATAAGCACTGTTACTATATTTAAACACCCGTTACCCGAAATTTGAGGGTATAGACAGAGACCTGAGGTAAGACAGACCGATTAGAAGCCAAAGGATTTACACATTATCGGAATTGGCAGAGGATTAAATACAGCGGACCGTAATCAGGAATCAGTTGAATAGGGGAGCGCTATACTATGGTGGTACGCGTATGCTTACTCCGGTTAAGGGCCGGTCTATGAACAACCCTGCATAATAAACCAAAGGATGAGCCAAAATATCTTAGGCTTGAAACATCATAGTCCAACCAACCATCAGGATAGTGATTACATTGTCGTACAAGTAACTACAAAACTGTGTCGGGACTAATGGTATATATCCACGTAATTTTTCTCTCCAGGTCCGTCCGGGTTCCCGGAGTAAGCTTCACAGCGCATTAGGTCTTGCCGCGGGCCGAACTTGTAACGCGGAATATAATGACAATCTTCGTCCGTAAAACCGGTTCGGCTTCAATATTATACAATCACCTATCGCCCAGAGCTTTTTGAATACGGAAAAATGCGTTAAATTAGCTTATCGTTATATATGCGTAGCCCAGACACAGTAGTCGATTGGCGTACTGTGCCAAAGCTATTGAAGATATATATTGTCTCAAGTTTTAGTCAACACCACACGCTCTGACTTCGAGACCGCATGGTTTACTACAACAACCATCAACTTGTTAAGACATTACTCCCCTTTTAAGCCAAACATGCATTTTTATGTGGCCATAGTTTTACATCTTCTCCCATCGAATTAATCGCGATCAGCTATTCAGTCGCGCGACTAGGTTCAGGTGAGGTTGGAAGACCATATAAAATACAGTTATGCGGCTAAAAGCGGTGTTACATGGCGTCTAATAAATCAAACAAAGGGTTATCGCTATACTAGGGCTATATCTGCATGCTTACATAGGTAGGTGTCTGGTAGCCGCGGGACCATACATAGACGCCAGGTAATATTCCTGAAAGGGGTATGTCTTGCCGCAATGCAACCTCACACATGACCACATACGAGTCAAATCTCTTTGCTAAAGGGCTACTAAGAGAGCCGCCTTTTAATTCAATGTCCCCGTACATGTCATCCCAATCCAGAATTCGTGAGAGGACATCTCTTATTTCGCATTTATTTGCTATTTATTGGATATTGGACTGGTAGCTATCGAGTTGAAATAATTCTTGAATTCGGCTGCAGGACGATAAACGCCATCATGTTTAACTAACTAGCTCAAACTCCCAGCTCAAGCGGCTATCGAGAAAGTAACATTGCTTTGAACCTCTACATATATTCAACTTCTAGGTGTATTATGTAAGTCAGCGTATGCATAGGCGTACTTTATGTTGCTTATGCCTTGTTGTATATGAGGGTTGGGCCCGAGCCGTCGTCTCACAGGGCCTGTCGCACAATATGAGCCACCATAGGCGGTACGATATACTTTGGCATCTCCCCCTGAATGAACAGAGGTGAATGTTACGGTGACAAGGTGTCAGCTACTGATCTTGCATCCGATACACCTTAAATATTACATGGAAATACGGAATAAGATCTGTAGAAATGCTCTAACCCTATCTGAAGACTATTTAGGTGGATTTTCAAGACCACAGAGTATAGGGGCTGGGAAACCAGTACCGAAGACAAGGAGCTCGCCTTCTTGCAGATAGGAAGGATAGTATCATTCGAGAAAGGCCTTCTTGCGATGACGAACGGTCTTATCTTAATGATACCTGTCAGGATCTTGCTGCTTCGACCAATGGATAAATGGAAATGTCTAGCAGTGGTAGTCTGCTTCGGCGCAGCATTTTATCTTTGTCAATGGCTAGTGACAGTCTCGTTCTCAATTTCGCTAATACTTTTCTATTTATAGATTTCTATCAAATATACAAGATGAGGATCATTGCCAATGTTAGGGTGTATCTAAACTTGGACGGCAGAAAACGGATTCAGTGTAAGCTGCGTCGGGCGTTTGATAGTACGTGTATTATTACTGGCTTTCTCCACCTACCTAATGGAAAGGAAACCCGGTTGAATAATTTTAAATTATAAATTCTCTAAGTTACCATGCTATGTGGCGTAGAAGGTACCTAGCCTTGATTGTTCCCGAAAAGACGCATGTTTTAAACTAAGTATAACATTGGCAAGGGGGGCCACATGAGGTCAGGGACGAAGCCGACGTCTTCCCTTTGAGTGGTCAAGTTACCGCATAAATACGTATCTGACTTATTGTTCGCATGGATACTGCCTTTTAATGGCGACACATAAACATGATTGGATAACCTAAGGCGTCCCTGCATCTAAGGCGAATTATGCGAGAGGATCATGACTCCCTGCAGGGCCGTCACAAGCTGGAGTATCGTTGCGGCATGCCATAAACACCATAAACAGTTACTAATATTTAACTGGGAAATTTCGAAAGGAGACTTAAGCTTCCGCTCACTATACGTACAGGTATGGGGGCCATTCACCGGCACTTACAATACACGTGTTGTCTCGTAACACTGTGCACATACCAACCCCCCCTTTTCTTACCTTTTTCTCACGCTTTGGTCGCCTTGTTGCCTTGTAGCCCTGTCTACATCATTAGGCGATTGCCAAGTTCAATGAAAATCAGGTTCTGTTGAGGTAGCTTTTTACAGATTCTAGAGTCCAACGTATGCCGATTATTACGCATGCCCCCTTTGCTGACCAGTGGCAAGTTGTCAGTGCAGATCATAAGTACAGGAGCAAGACATTAACTTACCTAACTTATTACGGCACATACAAACTTGGAAGGGAGTATTGCGTCGTTTGCGTATTAATTTCTACTTTGAGTCCCTATCTCCCGTCAAAACAGGCCCATTAGGCAACCTGCCTGCATGCATAGGTAATTAATCGAACACTTGGGGTCTAAAAGATGATACGATACCAACCAACCTTTCATGCCCGAAAACAAAATTTTCTGCAGAGATAGCTTAATCACAATTTGACGGGTTCTAGAAATGGTTGGAACGTGGCGATTCCTGCAGCTAGTACTTCGTGCGCATATAACTCGGGCGTATATTGTGGATATCATGGATTCATCATAGCAAGTAAAAGAAGACGGCGGGGTGCTCGTGCACTCCCGAGGGATCTTCTGATGCACACGAGGAGTACTAATGTATAAGACGTAGGCGAAATTATTCTAGTCTACCTGGTCTTAAAGACTATAGACAGCAAGGAGAGCTAGGTAATATATACGATTCATTAATATGTATCTTCTATAGTTATCCCTCGAGATCCACTAGAGCGAGCACGTAGGTGAAATTAGGCTTGGCGCGTCACCTGCGGTCGTATTAGGTAGCGTATACATGCTGTAGAGAAAAGGGGCTATGTAGCAGTATCTAAGTTTTTAAAATCTAAACACAAGAGAAATAGTTCTAGATGTATGCTAGAGGATATTGATTGCCACTGCCATGTATGCCCAATCCGATCTATGCCTACCGTGGACGTCGTTTTTAGGAGGTACTTAGGCTTTCCTACGTTGCTAATGCAGAGTAATGCTTCAGCTTATCATAGTTGATTTAGCCTTTCGAGGTTCAGGTATCATTATACACCAGCGGGAAGTCACCTACAATATGAAACTACCGTAGTCATAAGGGTGACAAGAGAGCTTAGAGTTTAGGGGTTAAAGACAATTAATCGTTGCGAGAATTGTATCTATAAGAACTCAAAGTACTCGACCCGGAGAGGTACTGAATATTTCGACCAAAACATGCTTATGCTACGAGGGCATTGCTGCGTGTTTAAAACTACATGACATAAATTTGTATACCCGGAGTCAGTATTGCATTTGAAATGCGAAAGGTGAATTGTGTGAGATTATACCCATTGTATAGCATCTCTTTATATATGGTAATACATACAAATAGGTACTTGGGGAGAAGTCAAACGGTTTCCCTTCATTTGGCCCTTAAAACTCGACTCTGGATCCGAATCCTGTTTACCCCTTACGCGCTTTTCGTCACATTCCCATCAACATTCCCACCAGCTTGTCCCATATAATCTTCACGATATTACGACTAACTGTGGGCTGGGATGCCGGGTTCTGTTTGCGTGCTTGCTGAGGTGGTGCCAGGATCAGTCGCCCACCCCTTGTAGACTTTCTACCCGCTCCGTTCGAAGGCATCGTGGGTTTAGATAGTAAAAGAAGCTCAAGTTGCGTATGGTCCGTCTAGGAGTTAGTGTATCGACCGAAGATATCGGAGGTGGCAGAAATCGATAATTCAACACTATTTGGACGAGTCCTTGTGTCTCTAAAGCAAACTAGAGTTAACATATTGCTAAAACCAGATCATAGAATGAAGTTATATAGACAAGATAGAGTGCTTGCCTTTTGATACGGACGTAACCGAGGATTATTGGATAATTGTCGATACTTGGTGCTCGACTCTAGGTAGGGATAGGATTCTAAAGATTTTTGTCTAGAATCATAATAATTCGGGGGATATCACGAAATAAATAGTGATCGTGTATTCCTGTTTATTACTTGGAGTGTCTGCACGCGTCTTTAGCACATTTCGAGCATGGGTAACGGGGTGACGCCATGCGGTGCAGGAGGAGACGCGGGTAGCCCTCCATCCAAGGAAAGATCTTTTCCTGGCATGGCTGTGAACCGAGCTAATGATGTTTAAGGAAATTGCTAGTCGTCTATACACTCAACAACCGAGTTAAGGATAAGGATGGCGGTGAGATCCTTACTATCACGGAGGCGGAGTATAGAGTAGAACGCGATGGAGACGTGACGAAGGCAATCGTGGGTAACCGTGAGTCCACCGGGTTTGCATCCGGGCAATAAGTATATCGTAAGTATATCGACGCATTGGCAATACAACCTTGTTACTCACCAGAATGCGCTAAATCCAATCACTACCACTATTTCGCATCAAATCCCGCGTCCCACAAAGTAGGTGCCTGGCCTTGAAGAATATAGCTTCTGATAAATTGTCAAATGTATAGGTTAGGTTAGTTACTTTTCAAAAACATTGTTTTGGGGGGAGAGGGGGGGGGTATGAACAACCAAGTTTTTACAGACCTTTTAGCACCGAAATCCAGGGTGGCTTGTACACTCAGCGCCAAGGTTACGTTACGCTGGCTTAACGCTGGCCCAAAGCTAGATCTCTTCCGTCTCTTCTATATCTTCCATCTCATCTCTTCTTGTTAATAGACCTAATACCATTCCCACGTCGGATTGAAGAGATGTGGTATTAATTCATCTCCTCGCCAATGCCCTGGCAAATAATGGACAAAGATGGCCGTTCGTAGAAGTCCCTCCAGGTGTAGCGCCGGGTCGAAGAGAGGTAGCTGTAGTATAGGTACCTGATAAGGGCCTTAATCGTCGCTGTTTGTAGTAACCTGTCCCGATTTCCAGCTCCCGGCATTGAGCTTAACATTCTGAATCAGATTTGGGCTTATAACAAGCATCGACCAAAGTCCATATTGTAATAGGCATTCATGTCTTTAAGCCAAACTTCCTCAGGAATACTTTCTTCCAATTGGATCGAGCGTGGTTAAGCTTGATCAAATTATCTCATTGATTCCATACCCAATAGGTGGGGTATGTGAAATCCGATTTTGGGACTCCATCGTGTCTCTTGAAGCTAACATGATAAGCTTTAACAGCGACTTCAAATGCATGTAGCTTTATATCTTATAACCTTTTTTGTTTTTGTTAATATCAATTTCCTTTTATTACATTCTTTATTTAAGGGTAGGAAGAAGAGTGCAGCTTACAGCTTTGTAGAAGGAGGTATGTATTAGGCATTATGGTCCGTGCGCTATCCGTTGCAAGTCCAGGGGATCGGGTCTGGGGTAAATTAGCTAGATTAGCGGATATCTCCACTATCCTGCGGATCTTCCCGAGAGAAGGTTGAACCTTTTCTATTAGTACCCATTAAACTTCAGCCCTAACGGATCCGAAGAGGCAGTTCCGACGTACGGGATACGGATATCGGCTATGATATCGGCTATCAAATAAGGTATTGTTACCCGTACGTAATTGCTTCCGGTAACAGCCACAGATCGGGAGGCTGTTGCTGCACGACATATTATGCTGCATATTCGTAGCCCACGAATAAGACGTAGAGATCATTATCGTGAGGTATTATAGGCGCTTTTCGCGCCTCCTAAGAAAGAGCGGGACCGGCTATAATCTAGTCAGTAAGAAATAGGAGAGAAGAGGGGTATTTGTTACCAAATCAAGAGCCTTCCTCCATACCGAACACAAGCTATAGTGCCAATAGGGACCAGTAAATAAGAATTACCAAACTAACAGTATTTCGATAAAATATTCGTATTTGCTTCGTAAGAGATAGGTAGGTAGTTAAACAGTCTGAGGTGCCAAAAATAAGAGGCCACGATGGCATGTATTGTTGTTGCCGGAAGGCCGAAGTTGGAAGGTTCCTGTAAATGATTTAACTACCCAGAAAAAGAACAAAGGTTTGAGGAGAGGGGGTCAGAGTGTAATAGGTAGGTAATCTTAAGTACCTTTTATATGGATCCTACGGTTGGCCACTTTCTTTCCCAACTTCCAAGTAATAATGCAATCGTTGCTGTTAAGTCTCTCTGATTCTGTCCAGCCCCTATACATCATTTAGTAACGTACGACAGTCGTAAGAGTGAACGCGTATTTAGAGAATTTATACCTATAAACCATGAGGGAACATAATAACAATCATAAAAAAGAAATTTCACGCGACCGTGTAGGTCTTTATATCGCGACAGTACACTACCGGGCCCCTGCTAGCGACTAATAATAGCTTGGTACGAGAATACAAGCCTAAACCCCGGAGAGTAGATAGGTAGGTAATTATCCCCTATTCCAAGTGTACAAACAGTATAGGTACCTATGTAAAGCATACCGGTCTACTCTTAGCTAGATTATACAACGCTTCATCGATTCTTCGATGCCCTTATGGCTACTACACAGTTATTATTAAACAAGTTCGAGAAGCCATAACATGGGCGCTGAGCTGACCAACATTGGAACTACAAGCTACTTTATCGGCGAAAGCCGTCAACTTTCTCTTATCAATGTTAAGAAGGTACAAAACAAGCAGGTATCCGAGTCGAGATAGTTAATATAAGGATCAGCATACTGGTTCTGCTGTGATGCGAACCTAGCATTAGAAGAACAGCTGTATTGTAGCGAGTAATTGAAAGTTCATACTATGCGGGACCGCAAGTATTCTTACAAGCAGCTCTTCGTTTTATCCTCAAGCTATAGACTTGGATCCAACCAAGTACCTACGTACTATCAAGTAGCTCGAGCCTCTAAACTATATATATGTCTATTTAGGATGTCTATTTAGGTGTAGAGATATATACTCGTAGATTCCTTTCATGCAAAGAGCTATTCGTGCTTAAGGCTAATGCAACAAAGTAGCCAGATGTTGGTTCCATCTGATATTTAGATGTCACTGTTGTGCATTATCTTCTGCGCGGGGAAGCCATCGTACATGTAGCGGTTAGCCGATAGAGACTAGGGCGCGACTCTAATATATCAGTCACGGATGTAAGTCTATTCTAGCGAATCACGCTGCCCCCTTCTTTGGGCTAATCTTCAGACTCTCAATCTGCCGAGTTCGCAGAGCCGCAAAAACCACTTCACCGAAGTCTCAAGCGATAAGATGATGCCTTGTCCTTTTGTCCTTTTCCGGACAAGAGGGAAATATGCGATGCATATATTGCAGATATTTATTAGGGCCCGTCACCCACTGGGTATCATGCGCCTATTGACGAATCTAACGCTCCTTTCCTTCACAATCCTTCACTATGACTACACCGGCTCGCTTAGAAGAGGGCCATGAAATGAATAGGATCCCCGGTAGCAGTGATGCTAATGAAGGTCCTGCAGAGCCTAGTGCGATTTGAACATGCCTTAATATCCTTTCCGCAACTAATAACTCTTCTAGGAACTAGGAACAACAACGCCGGGCATGAAAACTTTCGTGGAGACTCTGACTTTAGTGAGTAAACTAATACACATAGATGGCTAATAGTTTAGCTAATCGACAAGATAGTTGATGATGCGCCTGCAGGCTGGCCTTCTATTGCCGCTACTCAGTTATACTATCCCAACTTCAGTATTCATCGACGTTTCTCCTACCTTCTACATCGGGTCCTCATAGATCAGGAAACGAAGCTCGCGTATCTCGAGAATGAACTAGAAAAGCTCGATAAAAAAGACAAGGAAAACGATGCCGACAGATTGAATTCTCTGCCTTTCGATCCGGAAACGTTACTTGCCAGCCACACTCCAGCTCAGGCTCAATATCAACCTACTTCTATCCAAACATCCCCGACAACATCGAAAGCAGGAAAGGAGCAAAAGAAGACGAACGAGGATAACCGATGGGACGACAAAGACCTCATCCTGGAATCCGCAATATCGAGATTGAAGAATTATCGTTAGTACTATACCCGCGAGTTAGTCTTGGATAAATAATAATAAACAGTGGCTTGAAGATGAGCTACTCCTTCTCGGTAAAGAAACGCAGAACCTGCCACGTATCTCTAGAAGAGAGCATAGGGCATTCTATGACGAGGTGGAGAGCCGTCATACGCTTTTTGATGCATCAGCATACCAGTTCCTATATCCAAACGATGACTTCGTTACTACAAATACCGACCGTGTGCACCACTACTTTGAAAGATTAATATACGGGGACACACCCATCAAGAAAGTGAGTACTTATCTTCTATACACTCATCAAGTTCAACAAGGACCCAAGTCTACTACTACTACTACTAAAACCCCTTTTTGCTAATATTCAACCAACACTTCCAAGCTCATCAAGGGGATCTTTGGGCGAACGGACGAGAACTTTAACCTCGAAATTGACAACCGGATTTTAGTCGTTGCCTTCAAGGTCCTCGTAGTATTCACGAGCGGATTACTACTGCTTTCTCCAGTTGCTATACTTCTCCTTGTGAACCTATCTAGGAGCCTTTCATTCGTAGTCGTGGTTGTTTTCAGTTTTGCATTTGTAGCTGCCTTGACCTGTTTGAAGTCTAATTGGGACACAATCCTCGTCGGCCTAAGCGCATATATGGCGGTACTCGTCACATTCCTATCGAACCTGGAGCAGGGAAAGACTTAACCTCTTTTTGAATGATGATGAGGCGGGTGCTTGATAAACAAACGAGACACTCTTTTAAATAAAATCCATCTTGGATTTCACATTCTACATTTCCTACCATACTACTGCCTGTGCTCCTCTGTGATATATATATAACCTATTAGATCTTTATATTTATTATATTTATTATATTTCCGGGTTCGGCATATGGTGTAAGGTACGGATTCCTGTTAAAACTATTTTTAGGTGCTACACAAAGCAGCTATGGAGTAAAAAGGTAGATACTTAACTAAGATATTCCATGTAAAGACCTATAAAGTGGTTGTAAAGTGGTTGTTAGTTGTATGTAACGGCTTCGTGTTAAGGGGGTAGATCTGTTTTCTGTCAAATGCGTAATTCGGGCCAATCACATATTACACATATATTTCTTACCCTACGTATAAACATTGATCTGATTTAATCAAACACCAGCTTTACAGACGGCTCTAAGCGCTTATCCAGTCCGTATACCTGGCTTTTGTCGCGTAATCCGAGAGACTCGTAACCATCTCTGCAAAGTTTCGGACGAAAAAACATCCTATAAAGAAAGTCGAATTACTTCAAAATGTTAGAGTTAATGGAATGACGTTGAAATTCCGATATTTCTACTGGTCGCTTAGATAAACGCAGGCTTAACAAGCACGGCGCGTAAAGATTTGCCGTCCCCCTTAAACATGATTGGTGCTGGGGCCCAGTATACAACCAAATCGTACATGATTTAACCAGGCTGTACTTCCTTCCATGTACCGAAGACTTCGATTCTTGAAATTAGCTAGAGTACACGTGTCTCGCTTTTATATTTATAGAATTAGGACTAACTTCTTTGAGCTCACACATCTCAACGCGTTACCCATAGCAGCTCGAGCATAACGTGTCAGGCTTATTCACCTCGCGGCAGATACCTCAGGTACCAACTGTTCCGCATTGTTTATTCCAAACAGTGATTGACACTCGCTCTACCCCGGCATTTAGTACCTTATCCACATATAATCATGTAACTCGGCTTATATATATTAACCTGCTGCCTGATAACAGGTCCAAATCCGTCGAAGGCCTCATCTTGTTGATAAAAGGTAGCTAGCCTCGTCAAAAATATCTTGCTGTATCCTGGGGGTTGGCAAAATATTCTCCGAAGCGCTACGCTAGACAGCTAAGCGATGATACAGTGAACGCCATATACTACGAAAAGTTTCTCTACTTTAGATAAGTTAGGATATGCACCTAGCCAAGTAAGGAATGTAAGTTAGTGCAATGGACATGTAAATTAAGGCATGTAAGTTAAGGCATGTAAGTTAAGTACCTAGGTATAGGTGTAGGCGTAGGTATAGGCCTAAGTATAGGCATAGGTATAGGTACATAGGTATTTCTAGGCTACCCTAAATTGTTTAACCATCTAAATCATCACAATTGCCATGACCTGACGCTTAAGATTGAATCATTCAATCCAACCACCTGGTCTATCATTGCGGGTGTCATCAACGGGGGTCTAAGGAAGTCCTGCAGCGCGCACAGACGAGGCTGCCAGTTCATCATCGATAATAGCGCTCATCAGTTCGATTCCTTACTGTGGGAATACTTAAGGACAATCTTACTATACTGTCAAACATGCTACTATTCCCATATGATTGATACCTACCTACCTAGTAACGGTATGATACGTGTACATCTAGCTAGCCGACTACCAGGTCGCATATTATGTGGAGCAAGAAATTTTTCATGTACATAGCAAGATGAATTGTTTTTAAGAAGTTGTTGGGGCTGAGCTCTGGGCTAGCATAGATGGGCTTCCGCCCGACTATGGTGTAGGTACTGTACTTCTTCGCATGCTACATAGATACATCCCCGCAAGGCATACTCGAATGTACCGGGACATGCCAGGACATGTAAGGGGAAATTGTATCTTAACTTACCTATTCTGACCATTCTTTACGCTGGTTCGGCAAGTGGAGTTCCCGGCTGATAACATTCCCACTCTAGAACTCTCTTCCCGTAGATACAGTGTGTCTGTTGCGCAGGTGAGAGTTATGATTACTGGATACATTATTGGCTACGCTTAAGTCAGTAAAAGAATCCCGCTCTGGTTGTGTCTAGAATCATGTAACTATGTATCTATCGCTCTCTAGAATGAGTTTCGGAGTCGCTTGATAGCGAAGCTCGAGTGGTGGCTCGAGGAAATGAGATGCGAAATGCAAGAATGCCGATTTTTCATTTTTTCCCAAGAACATTAATTCTTCCCAAGACTGTAGCCTACCTGGGCTACCCAGGTAGGCACCTAAGAATTATTTCTGATACAACGGAAGTCTAGTTGAATGTTACTATTAATTGTACATAGTCTTGTGAGCATAACTAAGACGATACTGCATCCCTCCTTTTCACTACGCTTTGGCGATTGGGTTTCATTTCTTTACGGCAATTAGTGCCAAGTCATTATTGCGCAAACATTAATAACACTTATTGATTGGGTGGTTCTAGTCTATCTATGTAACTTAGGTAAGTACATTTCAATTTTAATACTGCAAGGCTGGGGTCTTGGTGTTTTCTCTACCTATATAGGTACGTAGAGGCGGTATCTCCTTATCCTAGTAAACCAATTATATACCTGTCTAACTCCTAGCATAAAGCTTCCATAAGTCTCAAATCACGCAGTCCAGCCATTGAACTTTCTTCGTAGTCCTTTAAGCTCCCCTTCGTGAATTTTCGGCTAATAGGGGGTGGGGATTGGAAAGAGGGGAACGAGTCTGTTCCGCGACATAGATATCCGTTCCCCTCGAGCGGCCGCGTCTTTTGTTCGGTCTATGGGTGTCTTTTCTGCCCTTTCGCGACCAAGTGAAAAGCCCACACATGGCGTTGTGCAGAGAAAGAATGCTAATTGGCGATCTCAACTTGTCGACTTGGACTTATAAGAAGGATTCTGAGAATTGTAATTTGGTTGGGCTTCAGAAGGAATGCTGATCTAACGAGCAGTGTAAGCAATTGTCGCAGAACATAGAGTAATGAGAGACTACGTCAATAGGATAAGGGCATTACCTCGTATCAGGGACTCTTTTCTCAGTAGTCTTACTTGACTAGACAATATTGTAGAGGGAGAGTTGTAGGTTTCTATGCACATTTATTGGTAACAAGGATGCGGAACTATTTTGTAGTCGAGGAAGTAAACCCTAGGGCTTCAAAAGAGGACACAACTGCTTATTGTCTAAGAGACTCACTCCTCAAAGGCCATTCGAGATAGCATGGATATACAAGGATGCATTGGTGGAGATAGTTGAATGGCCGTGCACCCTTGACGTGGTGAGTGCGGCTCTGTCCGATACACTAGAGCAGGAAATACTCCATGATCACAGTGTAAGGCGAGTCATAGTTGAGGTACTCATGCGCCGTGCAATTCCGCGCCAGTGAAAATAAACCCTTATAATGAATACGGAAGAGTACATGGTCAATAGACTACCTACATATAGCGAGTACAGTTCTTGTATTCGAGCTTAATGAGAATAGACTAATGGAACATGCTGGATATTCTTTTGGTGTTGGGAGTACCAAGTGGAATTTCTAGAGTCGCTGTCCCTGTCCCTGTCGATGCGAACTGGCCTAGTATCGGTAGAAGTAATCAATACATATTGACAGCACGCGTTGCTTTAAGATGTGACCCACTGAGGGAGCAAGGGGCACTGCCAGGAATATGATCCTAGAGCCAATCTGCCATATCATGTGCCTGGGTAGAATTTGTCTTTCAGTATGTGTTAACATCTGTATCTGTAATCTGTAGTGTAGTGGAATAGTCCCCGTTTCGGATTCTGTTGCCTCGTAAGAGGTAAAATTATGAATATGGAAGATTTTGGCGATTGAATAAATTCCAAAATTCTCCGTCGGCTCGTTAATCTTGTCCTCCGCGGTAAGCCATAAGCTCAGGCTTTTTTTCCCTCCTTTTTTTTTTTTTCTTTCTCTCCGCCAATTTCATATTACGAACTAGGGCCACCTATCGGGTCGCATTGGTGGCGAAGGAAATTCTTGCTTCATTGAAAAGGTCCCGTTTGGTTGATAGGACATTCGATCTCCGACGGCGATCCGAACTCCTAAGAATACCTCCGCGATGTCCCTTATCGATGTCCCTTATCGATGTCCCTTATCGATGTCCCCAATTGAATCGAATCAGCATGCCACATGGCTGCCCAGGGTATTCGAGTCATATATATATATGGCTGGATATATGTGGCTGTAGGTGTGCTGTAGGTGGCTAAGTTGGTGCCTTTCAAGCCTCGATAATTGCTTTCAAACTGCTTCCATTTTCCTTCTCCGACTCTTATATTCATGTCTCTCAGCGAAGTTGATGAGATCCGATTGGAAATCAATTGCAGATCAATCCTTTTGAGATGAAGTAAAAATCAAAGGTTGCGGTACTCGAAAATTGGCAATAACTGATCGGTACGGACCGGCTCGGGTGGTCCCGAACATGAGCATCGTGCCGAAAAAAAAAGGGGGTCTGAAGCGGCCACGATGATTTAAAGGCGGGGTGCAGAAAAACCCTTCATCCGAAACCCGGGCTTGGTTAAAAGTCTGACGATATAGCTGAAAACGACAGCCCCCTAGACTGTTACCTGCGCTGCATGTACGTTTGCCAATCAAATGTCCGTCTTGAGAGTGTTGGCGCCACGCGCATGACCTCTCGTCTTTTTCCAGCCTTCCTCATCCAGCCAGATGCATGCAGCCTAACCCATCTCGAAGGACAAGCTGAGCTTTATATGAATCTCCTCTCCAGAACCCTTCTTGCACCCCTAAAATAACACTCGTTGCGTAAGCGGAGGGGTCAGCCAGTATATCTCGAAGCCAGTTTGATAATAATGAACATTGAACTTTGGTCTTACTGCTTTCATAGCACTTATAAGCTATCTTTCGTCATATTGAGACTGACCAAGAGAGGACGAGGCTTGGTGGAATGGAAGATGGGTCGACTGCATTCTAGTCAGGCCGTGGTGCTTTTCAAAAGTAACATTCAGGTTAAAAAATCATGTCAAAGTCAGAGTGGGAGATGATTAGTCTTATTCCCATTTGGATACTCGGAGGGAAGGTGGGGTGAATAATATCTGTCGAGTAGGATGCTCAACCATGGTATATCATGTCTCACTGCAAACGAGATATCCCTGTGACATGTATCCAATCTCGTTGGCACCATCATCGGAGTTCTATCGGCCGTTTCATGATTGGATAGGGTTAATACGAATAAACTATAGTAATAGAGGAATTCATATTCACCCAAAAGATAGGTATTTATTACTCCGAGTCTCTTAAGCTTCACTTACATCATATTTTTGATCGCATTTACTTCTCCCATGCGTTATGATCAATAACTCCGCCATTGCGTATCCCAACATGCCTAATGGCTTGAGATCCGAGACACTTCGATATCTTTTGAAGCCACATTGAAAATTCCCGTTTGAACCGAAGCGTCACTCTTGTAGTTCACACTCCTCTCAGGGCCCTTAGCAGGAGACGTAGCATTACTACGCCCTATTAATAATATTCATGTTATTCATGTTAGTAGAATATACTTATTTATTGGCAATTCAAACAGGGCGGAGCAGCGTCCCATAGGCTCGATCTAAAGCGTAACAGGTGAACATCATATTACGCTGAAGATCAACAACTATATTCTTCAGAGTCAAAGACGCAGCAACTCGTATGATAATAGGTTCCTTGGTTCATCGAAGGATTTCATATGGCACCACTCTTGAGGCTGCCGGTTGAGATGAGTATTGATGGCAAGCCCAGGAGTAAAAGCCCCGCCAATGCGAACGAAACTAACTGGCATTTGTCATATAGGGGTCAGCCTATTATACCTCTTAGAATGACGACATTTAGTAAAAAGGAGCCTGCTTTGCCCCCTTATTAGGAGTAGCTTCTATATCAGGTAGCTCTCAGGAGAGGCTTGAGCGATACGGTATCCACCTATCTACCTAGGTAGGTGGGTATTTCGACGGATAAAACTCAGCCTCTTGACCTTCTGTCCGTCATACCCATAGCCACGATGCTGATGATCGAGGCTCTTAGCCGTATTCCTACGAACATAGGTCAATCAGACTCTTGGCCTTAATGCCTAACGCTAGAAACGGTAATGAAGCCATCTAGGTTCTACGCCAAGTGGCTTCCGTGTTACCCTCATACCATAAGCCTGGTTTACACGATTCCAATGTCGTCTCTAAGAGGTCGCCTTGATAGGTATTCCAACCCACACTAGATTGCCATCAAATGATCATTTGTCAAGATGAGTAGATGTTAGCTCAAACATTTGAGAGTGTTGCACTCCTTCGTTAGCACGCCGGATTTCATTGGTTCGTCTTTGGTATACCGCTTTCTATCTTAAGAACTAAGCACCTTCAAGTGAAGGATTTAGCGTAGTATATTGACGAGGCTTCCACCGATATCTGCCCCCATCCTCACCGCTCCATCGCGACTCGCCCTTTAAACACACGACGTTGAAGCATCTTCTCTTAAGATCAAATCGCGCTACACCCTCCTTAAGATACTGGCCAATTTTCCAACCACTTCGGGGGCTAAATTGGGTATTCAAGCATATTAGAAAGTTATGAATGCTCTTACCAGAACTCGTATCGACGATCGATGTGGCGATATGTCCAGTAGGGTCAGGCGGTGAACCCGATGCCCCGCATATAAATATCAGAGGAAAAAACTCAACATTAGCATAAAAATGGAATACAGAGCAGCATATTTCAGTAAATTTCCTCATTATGTCGAACTCATTCGGTGCTATCCCGGTACTTCCGCTAAACAACATGCAGCTGCACAACAACGTTGCTCGCCAAACTCCAACTGCCCCTTATAAGCCGCAATTACATCCTAACATATACGAAAGGATTTCAACTGGTATGTTTACGTGTACAATTCTATGGTAGCAACATATTCCTTTAATTAACACCTACGTCCTAGCCAAGAAAGCAGCCGGCTTAGAGGAGGAGGATAACTTCTATACAGACGAAGACATCGGTAAGTCGAATTACCAGATGCGGTTTCCCGTGGGAAAATCCCCCCAATAACGGAATTAAGTGAACTACGCGCCTCGTGGCTGGCCTAATATAGCGTCGCGGCAGACGTATTTTGGCAACCATAACAGCCATAGGGGCTTCGAACCCCTGACGCACTACCTACTCACGTCTTACGAACTAAAGCTCTCCGTCATCGAGAATGAACTAGACGAGATGAACTGCGAGGATGTAAAAGAGGGAGGAGAGCCCCTATGGTCGCTTCCTTTTGACCGCCAGCAATTCATCACCCGTTGCCGTCAGGGGGTTGGACATCTGCCGCCACAATGTTCGGGGTCAAACTTGGACGAGATCGACCGTGCGACGCAGAGGGAGAATATGACCATGAGCGCTAGGAGTTTACTCAACGAATACTGTAAGTTGCGGAACAGAAGTTGAAAGCGCATAGACTAATGCTGGATGTCTCCTTAGTACAGCTTCTTCTCCTGCAGCGCGACATCAAGAAACTTCCGCGCGTGTCTCGGAGCGCACACGAGGCGCACTTCAACATGGCACAGAGAGACCAAGGGCTTAATGATCAGGCGTGCACATTTATGCGCTACATCGACGATTTCGTCAGTACCGAGCCAGACGCGTTTTTCCGGCGGTTCGAATCTTTACTGTACTATTCAAACGATCGCCGGTTCATGGCAAGTTGGATTCATCAACTTCCCCCTTTCCCACTTCCTTTCCATCGGTCCCTTTCTTTCCATTTACCTGCCAAACTAACATCTTCCTAAAGAAACCACTGAAGTATCTCTGTCGCTTTTTCAGCCGATCTACTCTTCCTTCCTCCATCCCTCCTGACGGCCCGCACATGACTTATAGCCTGCGGCCTCCCCGGTTATTCATCAAAGCCTTTCTTGCTATTGGCAGTCTGTTGCTCTCGCTACTGCCTATCGCGCTCCTATTTTTAGAGACGAACTGGTCGCGCGCAGAGTACTTGGCCGTTGTCGTCATTTCCTCCGCCATTTTCGCTCTTGTCATACTAGCCTTTGAACCCCGTACAGTGCCTATGCTAGTCAGTCTTAATGCATACTTCGCCGTACTCTCCACGTTCTTATCGAACTTACCTATGTAGTCACGATATGACCTGAGACGGGGGCGATATTATGGTGAGCTAAGCTCTAGTTTGCTACCGGGGGATGATTATGTGTGTGATGGAGGGATGACGGAAATGAGTGATGAAAAGGGGTCACGACAAGAAAGGTAAGATAAACACGATAGTGTTGATAACTAAAAGCTTACTATCATGTAATATAGGCTATTTTAGGTCGGAAGAGCCTAATAGTCTTCACGAATAGATATTATACATAGTGTAGCGAACACGAGGTCATCTTAAGATGAACCTTTACGATCTTTTTATTACTAGCTTCTAGTTATTCTTCCAAATAGAAGATTTTAACTTTTGTTATGTATAACCAAAGACTTTTAGACCAGTCGTTATCGTACGCTGCCCGTGGATAGTGTCCGTAATAAGAGTATTTATCCATGCGCGAGCATTTATTCCCTCTCACTGCGAGACAGAGTTGAATGTAGCTTGTGTTGCTTCATCAAGGAAATACAAACAAGCTCCAGAATCACTAGCCCTAACATTGTAACCCACACACTCCTGAAGGCTTCCATAAATGACGCTATGACACCATCATACCAGCCATCAGGGAGGTGCTTCAATTCGTCTAGATCATCTCTGATCCTATGAATCTCTTCCGCTGCCCCAGGAAGGTCGCCAAATCGCTCCCATAGCTCAGTTTTAAGTACGTTTTGATAGATGGCTGATGCGATCGTCACACCGATCGTTCCACCGACGGATCGAAATGCGTAAGTAGCAGAAGTAACTACGGCTTGGTGGGAGTGGTCTACGGCTGCTAAACAAGCTAGGAGCGTGATAGTAAGCATGCCCCCCTGGCCGGAACCAAGAAATAAGAAGGCGATCATTAGGTGCCATGCTGGAGAGTCCTCATTGAGAGTTGTGAGGATGATGACAGAGGCTACTTGAAGTAATACAGCAAAGATACCTAAGGCCAACTATTGCAACATTAGCCTTCTACGAAAACCCCCGAAATTGCTTACTATAAATGTCTCGATTTGGAATAGGGGCGGCTATTAAGTAGGTCACTCGAAATCTTGAATGCCTCGCCACCTCTAAAAAGGGAATGATGCATATGATGCTAAATCCAGAGGTCATTAAGAACTTACTACTTCACAGTTAGTATATACAACGAATAAAGCACTAGACACAAGACGAATCGCAAGTAAATATGAGGAGCAGGGATTCGAAGCCTCAGGACAGAGTTTTCTCATACGTACCATATCGACCGGTTTTCCTCATAATGAGCCCGCTTCCAATAGAACATATAGATATTCCGATAGGTGCAAAAAGGATTACTACTCCAGAATCTGTCGAAGAACTTCCGCGAGACTGCATGTAAAGAGGGATATAGAAGAGAGCCATCATGTTTATCATCATGCCTAGCAAGTTCGTCATACAGGCTGTGAAGACTGTACGATCTAAAAGAAGGCGCACCGGGATAATCGGTTGTTTAGCACGTGATTCCCAGAGAATGAAGGCAATAAACGCTACTAGTGAAAGCGGCAAAGTAGTTAGCGGAAGGGGATGGATCCATGGGACCAAATTCCCACCGGCATTCAAGCCGAGCAGCAATAGGACCAGAAACAAAATGAGTGACAATACACCCGTGAAGTCGATGCGAGCTAGGTATGACTTTTCTGATACTTTGGGTGGTATGCGGACAAGATAGGCAACTAGACAAGCCGAGACTAGAACTAGGGGAACCTGGATCAAGAATGCCAGACGCCAGCCCCAAGAAGAGTTGTCATTGACCAGACCACCAAAGACGCCACCTAGCATGGCCCCGGCTCCATAACATATATTACCGATCCCCTGGATGACTCCTCGGTTCCGCAGAGGGACGAGATCGGTACCAAGAAAAGTGGATATGGACATGAGGCCGCCGCCTCCAATGCCAGCGACAACTCGTCCAAATATCATAACGTTTTGGTCCTGCGCGAGACCACAAATGAGATTGCCGACAGCAAAGAAGATATTGCTGAACACGAGGCCGGGGCCTCTCCCGAAGATATCCGTCAATCTTCCGGAGATGGGTTGGCAGGCAGCATTTGAGATAAAGTAAGCAGTTGCAAGCCATGATAATAGACTCAAGGATTGGAACTCGCTAGAGATGGGTGCCGAGAGGGTGGCGATGATGGTAGAATCGATGGCGCCGAGAAACACGCCTATCCAGCAGGTGAAGAGGATGAGCCACAGCTTCAACCCTTTCACTTCTTCGACGATGATGATCTGCTCTTCGTCGTTGTTGACCAGCGGAGACCCCTCGGCCGAGACATCATTCCCATTCTGATTGCTCAGTAGCGGCGTCCTTTCGTCACTTTGGACGATGGAGTTTCCGTTCGCCGAAACTGGCGGAACGTGCTGAGCAGAGATGTCATCAGCCGCCATGATAGCAACTCGTCTGCACAGGTTAGAGCACCACTTCCACTTATTCAGGGGGCGTATCGATTAGGTATTTAAAAGTCGTTGGGCTTGCTGTTATAAAAATTAAATAAACCGTATCTATTAGCAATGAAAAAGAATAAGGTGAGAGCTAGACAGCGGTGAGATGTTTTCTCTAATTACTCAAAACGGGAATATCAAGATGGAGAAATCGATTCGGATTTAAGAGATACGCTATAGTCGGGATTTAGAAGGCTTAGGGGCGGTTGCGACGCTAAATAGTTCAATACCTTCCCCGAGCATCGGCAACTAGCGTGCGCCTTATCGGGAACCGGTATGCTGATGACACGGGATACAGCATTTGGCAAAACTGGCTATGGTGCATTTTGACAAGGATGCCAACAAGGTAACTAACTGTATACAAATACTTACAATGCAGCTTTTAGTTCAATAGACAATTGTATATATAACGGTTAGGTGTATTGATCAGAGAGATAGCCGTAAAACTTACACATAGGTACCTAGGTACTTAGGTACTCGGCTCTTGATGTTAAAAGCCGGAGAATTTAGACCCAAACTCGGCCCAGTTGCTCGGGAAACGATGTGTGATGCGCATATCGGAATGTACCTAGATACTTGAAGTATTTAAAGACATCATCATGTACGTAGTGTTGAAAGAAAGAAAAAGCGTATTAAAAGTATTACAAACGATATTATCGAAATAAAATATTATACGAAGTAGTTATTTGAAGTCGTCGCATTTGTAGTCGTTATTACTGAAGCCGCAGCAAGCTCTTATGTAGATAATCCGCAAGGATACATGGTCTTAGTACCACGAATAAAGCATGCGGGACTGACATCATATGTCACAGAGATAGCAATTTGGTGGCAGTAGTGGCAGTACGAGATGTGGCCGGGATGAGTTGTATGTAAGTATGTATGTAAGCAAGCCACTTTAGACTATGGCACCAATATCTAATAGTTATATGGAATATGGAGGAATGTTCGATCAAACGGGTCAATAGTTCAAGATTTCGTATGAAGGTTACATTCAAAGGACAATGAAATCGACGGGTATAGACTCGAGTATTCTCGACGAATATACTCGAGTTAAAGTGAGACAAATTAAGCATGACAACCCAATTGTCTTAGAGACAACTTGGAAGTTATGCCTCTTATACACACGGAGGATATTTCCAATCCCACTATTTTCTTGCGGTTAATGCGGGATAAATAAATGAAATGCCTGACCTCTTTATCATCAGTTCATCTAGTATTGGTTATGTTTGTAAACACCAGCAACGGCCCATCTGGAAGACTAGCCGGCTTTCTGCACTTCGTTTCTTCAGTTGCCCAGTGAGAACAGCGCTAATACAGAGCCCTCGTGAAGATAGTGGCTTAGCGCTTAGTCTTTGGTGGCGCCCATAGGCTGTGTTTACGTTCGCTAATGAACCAAAACAGCGCTTTTCGCAGTGGCAGTTCCAGTTGATTGTGGCTGAGCTTAAAATAGAATACCCCCCTTCCCCCCGGGACCCTCACTATTACATTACACGCAATCGCTATTCATCAGCGCGAGGGTCATTTGATGTCAGCTAAGGTCCATTACATAAACACAAAAACATTCAGATCCATTAACTAACTATCATAATATTTCATCGACCCGGTCACAATTAACTTTACATCGTCTCCAAACCTCCTTTTCCTTTTTTTCTTTTTTGGAAAAGAAATTTGATAAGTTTAATAAGATAATTTATACCTGTTATTTGAATCAAGGCTAAGTAGCCGGCGCGACATCAACTCGACTACCCGGATTCGAGTTAAAAGTCGAAACCTCTTCAAGCCCTTGTCATTTTACGTTTCGACATCGTCATCAGCCGCAACCGCCGCCCCTAAAATACGACGTAGCCTGCTTGGCTGTTTCCGTCCTGTAAGCTTCTTGTCGCACTGCCTTTTTCTAATCCGAAATCTTCTAGATGTTCGGCAAACCTTACAACGTAAACCTTCTACTCCTCTAGAACCGACATATTAACTTTTGACCTACAGAACTTAGCGTAGCCATTAAAATGGCATTGTTCGAGAAGTTGGACGTCAACCCGGATAAGGTGCCCAACACCAAGTTTGGCCTCCACATCTTCCAAGGCGTCCTTGCTATAGTTATATTCATCCTCGAGATCATCTTATTCCGAGCCGACGATTCGAAAATTAACGGCAATAATGGCTGGCCATTTGGTCTGGTACGTGCGAGGTCTCCTTTTGCTATGTCCCTTGCGGGAAAGAAAATTTAAATAGACAGCTACTTACAAGACCTACGGTAACAGTGTTTCTTATCCATCCCAGCTTGGATGTACTTAGCTTTGGCGCCGCGCTTTGAGCGAACTCGAAAGGCTGCCCAGCCTCATGTAATGGTCGTTACCGATACCATCTTCTGCATCTTCTGGCTATCTGCTTTCGCTAGCCAGGCCGCTTACAACACTGCCAACTCGTGCGGGCAAGCTTGCTCTGTTAGCAAGGCTATTGTTGGAATCGCCTTCTTCGAAACGTAAGCATCTAGCTAATAGCATGGTCTACTGGAGTATCTTCCACTAACTATCAGCATAGGTTAGCTTGGGCTGCAACGACAGCCGTTAGCGTATACACCTTGAGATACTATCAACGTACCGAGAGTCTACCTGGCTACGAAAACATCGGGACTAGCCAGAATATCGATCCGGACAAGGCGGCGTTCTCGATGGCGCCGCACGACGAGGAAGCATATGCGCCCGTGCAGATGGACGATCATCACGAGGATGATCACCATGACGGTCCTTACGACCCGGACTCGTTCGGTGGACGATTTGACAGCGATACGGCGTACAGACCACACAGCACGTCTCCGGCCCCTCTTGAGAACCCCTTTGATACCTACCGAACACACAGCACATCGCCATCGCACAGCGATCTGTACGGTGACCCCTACGGTTCTCAAACATCCAGGCCTCACATATACGTCCCACCTGCGGCAGAGTACGACGACGACGACAGGCCGGTGCAATTCCCCAGTGCGAACTACGACCGGACGTTGCATTAAAGTGTTTTATGTTGGCGTAACGATTTCCTGTTTCCGAGGATGCGTTTGGGAGCTGATGACGACCTTGGGGAAGTTCAAACTACCTACTTGGGTACATATGATAAGAGTCGTTTGGGACAGGGTGGCTGGCCAGTACAAAAACTTGACGACGGTGATCGGTGTTCCGGATACCTATTCCATTGTGGTGCTATGGGATACCATGATAGTGCCTACGATTGTTGCGTTTATATTTTGTGTTCCGATAGCATAGTGTGCAAATAGATCTTGCAGGGAAGGGTAAATATTGGCTTTATATCGGTATTCTGCAGTTCACTCTATTGTTTCGGTCAATGCGTATGCCTACCTATGTATCTAGATGTGAAAGACGGCAAAGCAGCCCATGCTTTTATAAGCACCTATATACCGAGGGCTAACTTCTCAGCCGGTCAAAATACTATGATCCATAACGCCTTGCAATGCAGAAAACTCCATCCACCAAGTTAGAGTCCCTTTGCCCCCTTTTTAAGCCGAGGAGCCCCTCCATTTCTTAATCCTCCTAGCAATATCCGCCTGTGTCTGCTGCATCGGGTTCAACTTGCGATCTCTCGACATAGCCTTAGTATCATCTCCATGTTTGTCTACAAGGCTCTGCAACCACTCAGTCTCCCTCTTGGTCAGGGTTCGTGGCTTTTTAATTATAGGCCTATTAGCTTCGTCCTCGAGCTGCGCAACGATCATATCATCCTCTCCATTCACATCCTCAATTCCACCCCACCCTTCGCCTTCTTCTTCTTCTTCATCTTCGTCCTCATCATCATCCTCCGAGTCAAGATCGTTGAGAGGATCGTTTAGCGGGTTTTCCTTCCGCTTTGAACCGTCGAGTACACGTATAATCTTGCCGTTCTCGTCCCGCTCCACGCGCACCTCGCTAATAATAGCTCGGGTAGGTTGACTGATGGCAAAAGGATCCACGGGCTTCGTAGCTCGTCCTTGCAGGGTTTTTGACTTCAAATTGGGTTCTACGCCACCGGTTGGCGCTTTCAGGTGGGACACAAGACCGAGACGGCGGTAGTTCTGCGTTGCGGTCTCCTTCTTATTCCTGTATCGCGATATTGTCTTAGCTCAGGTAATTTTGTATTTTCATTTCGGCATGCGACTAGAGGATACATATATATGAGATAGATAGGTATGAGGTATAGAGAATCCTTACCAGCTTTTAGCTACCAAATCATTCCCCAGCGGATTCAAGAGGCGCTTCGATCTTAACGATGAAGGCTGGCGGATGGCGGGGCGAGAAGAACGCCTCTTGCGCTTCTGGAGATCACGACCCATGGCTGTATCAGGTATAGTAATTTGACTTATTCAATTATATAATATACGTCGTATGAAAGGAACCGTCAGCTTGTGAGGTATTGCTGATGCGCGCTGAGGTTCAATGCTTGTTCGTTCGCTTCTTGTTTCACTAGAGATTAATCCAGCATATTGTAAAATGCTCCAAAATTTCTTACTGATGCATTGTTGATACTACTTAATGATAAGATAAGAATATAGTTGCTTATCTTATCTAGTATGCACGTGCATTCTAGCTGGTCAAAGCGTCCAAGCTGGCTGTCTTTCATCCTTCATCTTCCCCCACATGTTTTTTTTTAGGTACGTACAGCAGCTTCACATCGCGATTCTCCAATACTAAGGTGAAATTTCGTCAGCCTTTAGAATAAGTAAAACTACCTGCCACTCTTTTTTCTTCTTCTTCAAGGGTGAGTTGATACGAGCCTTGATGGGCAGCCTCTTGCTACATCGACCCATGCTGGCCGGGCTTGGCGTTGTGGATAGTTGTGAGGTGCTTTCAACATCGACCATTTATCATATACCATCTACTATCTACCGTATAAGTTGAGGAAGTCTTATACAAGTACCTATTTATCATGAAAATATGTGGGTTCGACAGGCCGTTGTCCACGGAGTCTTTTTCTATCTCCAGTCTACTCAAGCGAGGCGGGGCGGTGCATGAGAAAAGCGAAAAGCGATGTTGCAATATTCCTACGTGGAGCTGGAACTGGAGCTGGAACTGGAACTGGAACAACTAACGACTGTAACCGAATCCTCAAGTCCCGAGATGATTCCAAACGCAACAAAAAAGTACTACAGTACTATGATACTACACTCGACGTTACATACCCGCATCGCGGGTACTAGCTCTTCTACGGATACGAGTCCCCAACTCCTGTCACCTCGCTAAAGTTGCTTCAGGGCAATCGGCGAGAGTCTATAAATTTTAACTCCAAAATCTGATCGATCGCCGACTCCCTGCCCAGTAGGCTTTCGTGATCCGAATAATGCTAGGGTTCCGGGTAGGCCAATCGGTAGCTAAGTGAACTTCTGGAACCCGCCGATGCGGCCAAGCCCGCAATTCTGATGCGATGGCCGACCTACTGCATGCAGAGTTGCATAACAAGGGCGTAGACTAGTTATAGATCAGGAATGACCCCCGAGCGCCCTTTAATTCTCGATGCGAGTCTCGAATCACGGAGCCATTCCCCCAAAATGGACCCCTGGCTAGCAGATCTAAGACCTACTAGAACCCGCGAAGAAGAAGCTAAATTGTCGGGTTTCGGAGAGCGCCATCTCATCGTCTTCATACTTTGGTATGCTACCTCCGCGGAACAACTATCTCTACGCGCCGCCGTCATAGCAGCGCTGCGTGCAGACCCGCTCTAGCTAGGGACCCTGCTCTAGTGTCGATGTCGCGCCGACGGAAGATCTCGGATCCCGGAGTCTGTATCTACCAATGAATTGGATTGGGGTACTGAGATCATGAACTGGTTGCTTGATTGATCGAACCAATGGAGCGCTACTAACAGGTCTGGCTTGGTTGACGTTTCCCTGCGAAGGGGGGGCGACTCCATGCTCACCATACGATACGATCTACATACTACGGAAATCATCTAGATTTACCGGCTCCACATCTGGCGGCTTCCCTTATAGTTTGTAACATCGAATCTTAACAGAACGAGCTGAGGAGAAACCTGCCAACCAGCTGTCTCGGTTCGTTCGGAAGGCTGTTCACGGTGGTCAGACGACTTGCCGGCAGCTCTGTTTAAAGTTGTCAAAACCCGACCATACGTATTTGGACAATGGGTGAACCAAGAGGAAAGCGAGTCTGCTGACACGACCCGGGTATCTACCGTAGCTAGCACTCTAGGCTACGGTAGATCCTATCATCTTCAGTGGGTCTGACATACCGAGCAAAGGTGACCGGCGAAGGTGAGGAAGCGCCAGCTAACTACGTACTGTACGCCTCGACTCTGCAGTGACGATCATTCTAGATGTTGGGTGTGATAGCGTTAGTTGGCCGAGGAGTAGTGGGACGAACGATGAATGGACGAACCAGACTTTGCTCTTGTCGGCCTGGACCTTTGCTAAAGGGAAAAGAAGCTAAAGAGAAAAGAGCAAGTAAAAACAACATGACAAGATATGCGCATTGCTTTACTATGTAAGCCTATGTCCGCAAACCATGTATTGCGACTTCTTGGCTTAAGCTATCACAGACAGCTGCCTAGCTAGCTATAGCTGGAAAGATTAGGTAGGTTAGGTAGTTATTCTGTAGATACGGCTAGAGTCGGCAGCAGTACACCCTGGGTACTGGTTTCCTTGTTCCTCTCCACTCAGAGATCTGTCCTATCCTTGTTTTCTATACCCCGTTACGTATGTATGTATGAAATGATTTGTTGAGGCCTTTACATATGATCTGCTTCTCATTACGTATCAGACCCTTTTGAAGATTCATTAGTACCTAATGTACGTAGAATCTCGTGGCGGGCTGCGCTGCTGACAACAGTTCATTCTTCCTCCCTATTTAGGAAACGCGCGGGGGGTGGGGGTCTACGAACGACAGAGGAGACGAGGGTGAGCGAGAAACAAATCTATACGAATTCTTGTAATTACTCTCACAACATATACCTTGCATACATGTAAACTAGGGGTATACATTGAGAGTTGAGAGAGATATCCTATGGGGTCGTACGTGGAGTTACACTTCCATGGAAAACTAAAGTAGGCTACGAAATCGTGTTGATGGGTTCGCTGTCCAAGCCCTATAGAGAGGGTATCCTTGCAAGTATTCCGAGAGGCTCCCTCTCGCGTCTATCTACGGTAATGTAGGGTAGATGTCTACCGAATGATAACTAAAAAAGGAAAAATGTGGCTGTGCCCTGCGCCCTACGCCCTGAGCCCTCCATTACGGAACGGTATTTACTAACGATGGAGGGCGGGAGGGAAGAGTAGGGGGTGGGTGGGAAGGTTCCTTCCCGGCCGCTTGATGAACAGTAGTTATGGTGGGGTGTGTGTGTGTGTGTGTGTGTGTGTAGCCTACATCTGGTTTACATGCCTAAGATATAATGCATATACCTAGGTTAGGTGGATATAATATGTCAGTGCTGAACATATTAACCCAGTGTGTGTATGTACTTTTTGGGGGCATGAGGCGCTATGGCATGACGACGGACACCGGGAGATCTGCTTTGCGTGCTGACAGCTGCTCACATGCGCCCCCCAACCCATCTGATGGTGTGGTAAAAGAAAGACAGGGCGGGCTTGTGCGCGAAATCACGAGACTCAAGTGACGAACTATGTTATGTGTGTCTTGGGAAATTCTCTTTCTTCATCTGTATGTCTCTACCTAGGTCGACATGTAGCGCAACCAAGTCATATGCTAGCTAGTTACAATCATCACCACTACTACCATCACCGCATGAAAACCCCAAGTTTCTTCCTCCTCCTTCTCCCTCTCCCTCTCCTCTTTCGTCCCCCCCCCCCCCCAAAAAAAAAACTTCACTCTAAACATGATCCCAACCGAAATTTCTTGCTTAACAGACATAGACCATCCCAATGTTCAAAATGAAAAAGTCCATACAATCCAAATCTCGTTCATATCCGCCGTAAATCCGTAGCCCCGGGATATCAACAATGCAAGTGTATATAATGTACATCCGTGGTAGAAATGGGGGAGAGACAATAAACAATAACAACTAGAAAATAGGCAAGAAACAGGAAAGAGAAAATGGTGCTAAAAATATATATGTCAGAAGTGAAAATGCGCTCCAAAAAAAACCAAAACCAAAACCAAAAAACAGGTCGTAAACCTCTATGATCCCATATGTTCCGTGTCCGTCATGTTCAAAAAAAGCTTGCCTCCTTTTGTTCATAGAATATACGAGTATAACATCCGCATTAAAACATGATCCATTCCACTTCGACCCCGGGGCCACCGATGCACTTAGTCCAGTTGAAGCAGCCGCGCCTCATGCCCAGCTTGTTCCCGGGGGTCATAGGGGGTTCGTAATATTCGCCAGCCCAGAGGCGCTCGAGGACCTCGATGGCGGCGAGGTTGTTCATGTAGCCGCTGCGGGACATGATCTCGCGGCACTTGTTGCGCACGATGTTCTGCTGCAGCTCGTTGACGCACTCGCTGCCGGCCACGAACATGGGCCACAGCAAGAACTTCTCGGCGCTGCTGCCGGACTCGAGCGAGGTCGCGTAGTACACAACCTGGCTGACCAGGTTGCGGAAGTTGTTGTTGGTGGAAGGGAGGTTGGGGGAGGCCAGGCGCTCGGTGTAGAGGAGAGCGGCGTAGCGGAAGGCCTCGGAGAGAGAGTGAAGATCGCGTATTTGAGCCTGGGTTGCCGAGTTGGGGAGGGATGCGGCGACTCGCTGGGTGTCGAATTCCCAGCTCTGGAGAGCCATGCGAGCGTCTTTCCATTCGCGCCAGAAAATCGAGCGGTGCTCGTCGAATTGCGGCGAGGGGCAAAGCCCTGTCGACAAGATCTCCTCGTCGTCAAGCTGCGAAATGAAGCCGTTGCTATCGTAGCGATGGTGATTTGTGCTGAAGAAATCTCCAAGTGGCGGGCTGGTTTGCTTGAATTGCTGTCCCATGGGGGAACCTAGGGGAGGCGAAGTCGTTGGTGTTCCAACGTGAGCATTGGGTGTTGATAGAACGCTCTGGACATGATGGTGTTGTGATAGGAGGTTCAGACGACCAAGTTTGCTGATGGTCTTAAATAGCTCCCTGTCGCAGCCAACCAAGTTCTCAGCTCCCGGGGGTAGCAAGTTGGCATCCGAGGGAAGACCGTAGAAAGAATGGTTGAGCTGGGCCTCGCGGTCGTTGATGCTGGCAGAAATCGAGTCGAAGTAGGTGAAAATGGCCTCCATCCACGAAGACTCGCTAGACCCTTGGTAAGGGGCAGAACCCCGCATGCTGAGTATCTTCTTGACGCCGGCAAACTGCGTGTGGAACTTTGCGACCCCAGATTCGACCATGCGGTAGTGGCAGAGAAGTAGTATAGTAGCCAGGACAGAGTCGTGGCATGATTTCATGGGGTCATTCAACTGTTCATTTAGGAGATGAACAGCCAGGTTTCGATGTTGGTGCTCTTCGTTCAAGGAGTGGTGATCCGATTGGGCTTCAGAGAGTCGCTCAGATCCGGTGCTGTCTGATCTGGCACGTTGGCCAAGACTTAGCCTTCTCTTCATTCTCAGGTTACAGGCAGCCAGAGCACAGATGGCGTGTTGTAGGCTGTGGCTACCCGATGCTAGTCGCAGGATGTGGTCTCGGAATGGATTGTTCGGGC